ACCTATATGCGAAACAACTATAAAAACGTTAATTTTAAAGCACATAACCAAACTTTAGAAATATATTCTTATACATTGCTTAAATGGGGTGTATGAATACACCAACGTGATCTACTCAACCTCAGGAACATCCCCATATTTTTAAAATAATTTTTCATCGTCGCACGCGCCCCCACGCGTCAGCCAAGGCACGGCTACACGCGCCGGCCACGCGCAGGCACGTGCCTGGCACGCTGACGGCATCAACTGACGCCATCAGGAATATTCCGTTAACTATAACGGTTTCCGTCAACGGCGTCAGGAATATTCCGTCAGATTTGACGGAATATTCCGTCGTCTTCTCCGGCGCCGAAAAATCGGGAAAACTTTAAAACGTCCTATCTTCTTCGTTTTTCACCCAAATTTCACAAAATTGGTACCAAAATGAAGCTTACAACGAGAGGAACACAATCATACCACTTTCAAGTGTTAAAATCCACAAAATCTCACCTGAAAAATCACCCCAACTCCGCCCAACCTCGAAACTCGTGATCCTGGCGTCCAAAACCTTCAAACGAACCACCCCAAGCCTCCTAAGGACCTCACCAAGCTTCCTACAAGCTTGAAATTCCCTAAAACGTAAGAAATTACGTGTGCATGAACAGTACCAAAATCGGGCAATCCGAGTTCAACGTGAAAACGAAGGTATTCTTATCTAAAATGAATGTGGTTGGACTCCTACGAGCCTCACGAGCATGGATATATACTTTATACCTTCGATCTGTGAAGGTTTGATAGGTTTGTGTGTGTGTCCGTACAATGGAGGAGGAAATGGGAAGGGAACTGGGCACGGGATAGGGTGCAGGGCAGGGGAGAAGGGTGTGGGTGTAGGTTAGTGTGTGTGTGGCCCAAAAACATGCCAACAAGGAACCCAAAAACCAATAAACGTAAAGAAATCGCACTTGGGGTAAAATCGTCTTTTCACGCGTACGTTTTTAAAATTCCCGGGACGGGCTATCACACCCAAAATTATTTTTTATTGAATATGATAATATATATATATATAAAATAATACTATATAAAAATAATATATAGAAATACTAATCAAATCAAAATATATACATATAAAAATTTGATGGCCAAAAGCCATCAGAATACTAGTCTACTACCTAAAAACCATCAGTCAAACAACTACCTAAAAGGCTAAAAGGTTAAAAGCCATCAGACTACTAGTACTATCTATATGAAAATATATAAAATAATAACTAATAAAGGGCAAAGTTAATCAATTGGAGAACCCCACTACTGAGGCAAACAATTCAGACTACTTCTCTCTCTCACGCCAAAATCCATTGTTCACTTTTCTTCTTTCACACCAGATTATCGTCACTACAGAGTCAAATAATTCAGCGCAGAGCACTAGAACCCTGTGCCAGTGTGAGTGTCCCAGACTCCCCGTGTAATTCCTTTTTCTCTTCGTCCTATTGTTATATTTCCCACAAATTATTAAACCCTAATTTATAAATTTATGAAATTAAAGAAAAACTTCCAAATCATGAAGATAGTTCAACTGATCAGAGTGATGTAGACTTAGATCAAAATAAGATATTTACTAATTTAAGTATATTGACTCGAAACTTGAAGATTTGGGTATTTCTCATCTATAATGATTTTTTTTTTCTTTTGTACCTTTCAGGACAAAATCAAGAGAAGAGCAGTCACAAAAAATTGCTAGACGCACACGTATTATGGACTATCAGGTTTCATTGTTCATACTTACTATAATTTTATTGTGATCTTATTTGAGATATAAAAGATGACACCTACTAGAAAATATCCATCTGTCTACTTGAAGCGTCAAAGAAAAAGAAAAGTTGAACAATTGATTTAGTCTCAAAAATGAGCTATTGATATGTTCTTTCTGAAAGAAAAAGAACCACAAAGTTCAGTGGATGATTTAATTACGGAACAACAGGATGACAATGAGAAATTAGTTGATGATTTGGCCAATGATGAAATTGATGATGACCTTGATGAGAATGATAATCATGATGATTCTCCTATTGTCACTGATCAATCGAGTGAGTCCATTCCCTCAAACATTTATGATCCTCAAATTTGGGATAGTTTTGATCCTAAATGTATTGATTTGTTGGCAGAAAAAGGTCCTACAAGAGATCTATCAATTGAGAAAGGTCCTAAAGATCAGTTTAATAGGCGTTTAAAGATCAGTTTAATAGGCATTTTAATGCAACATTTTACACTTAATACTTATCCAATGGAGAGAAACATGATAAAGATTGGCTAGTCTATTCAAGGGATGTTGATAAAGTGTTTTGCTTTTGTTGTAAATTGTTCAAGAAATGGCCTCTCAAAGGTCAATTAGCAAATGAGGGCTACAAAGATTGGACACATCTCAATGTGAGGCTTAAAGAGCATGAAAACAATTTTAATCACATCTTGAACATGACCACTTTGATTGATTTACATCTTAGATTGCAGAAAAATGAAACAATTGACAAAGTTGTGCAAGACCAGATCAAGAAAGAAAAAGAGCATTAGAGGGAGTTATTACGAAGATTGATTTCCATTGTGAAATATTTAGCTAAACACACACTGGCTTTTCGTGAAAATAACGATACGCTTTATCAAGGAAGTAATGGAAATTTTATGGGCCTAGTTCAAATGATGGTTGAATTTGATTCATTGATAAAGAATCATCTTCAACGCTTCCAAAATAATGAGATTCGTTATCATTATCTTAGTCATACCATCCAGAATGAGTTGATATTGTTGATATCTTGTGAAATTAAAGTTGCAATCATTCAAAATGTCAAAGAAGCTAAATATTTTACCGTGATACTTGATTGTACTCCTGATTTTAGCCACCAAGAACAGATGACCTTGATCATAAGATGTGTATATATGAACAGTACTCCAGTAAAAGTAGAAGAATATTTTTAGCAATATCTGATTGTGAATAACGCATCAGGAGAAGGACCGTTTGAAGAGTTGCAAAATGCATTAAACGTTCTTGATCTTGATATTGATGATGTAGGAGGGCAAGGTTATGATAATGGATCAAAGATGAGAGGGAGACACCAAGGTGTACAAAAGAGGCTATTGGATATAAATCTTAGGGCAATGTACACTCCATGTGGTTGTCATAGTCTTAACTTAACGCTTTGTGATATGACAAATTCTTGTGGCAAAACGAAAGACTTCTTTGGAACAGTACAATGTATTTACAACTTGTTTGCAAATTCTACAAAACGATGGCTGATTTTGAAAGAAAATATAAAATGACTGACTCTCAAATCATTGTTGGCCACACGATGGGAAAACCGTGTTGCAAGTGTTAAAGCAATTTAATCCCAACCTCTACAAATAAAAAAAGCTTTACTCCAATTAGCGGAAAGTGACAATGACTTAGTAACAAGAAGTGCAGCTAAATCTTTGGCAACATATGACATTAGGAATTTTGAGTTTTTATTGGGTATAACTATTTGGTATGAAATATTGGCTGCTGTTAATGAGGTTAGCAAAGATTTGCAATCTAAAGACATACTTATTAATGTCGCTTATTTTGAAAAGTACAGAGAAATTGGGTTTGCGAAGGCTATGATTAATGCTAAAAAACTTGCTATTGAAATGGAAATTGATCCCGTGTTTCAGAAAAGCGTCAAGTTCGTAGAAAAAGACATTTTGATGAGAATAAAGGTGAATCATCCCAACCAGCTGAACAATCAGCAGAGGAATCTTTTAGGGTTCATTACTTCTTATATATAATAGATCAAGCTATTGGTTCACTGAAGAGAATGTTTGAAGAATATCAAGCGTATGATGATATATTTGGGTTTTTGTTCACTTCAGAACGGTTGAATTCGATAGACAATGATAAATTGAAAGATTGTTGTGATTGGCTTCAAGAAAGATGAGCTCTTTGATGTTGATTGGGATGCATTATTAGTAGAGTTGAAGCTTTTACGGGAGCGTTTGCCAAAAGAAATAAGAGCATCCATTGACATATTGAACTTCTTGAAGAGAATGCGTTGTTTCCCGACTACAAGCATTGCATACAGAATTTTGTTGACTATACCTGTTACTGTTGCATCTGCAGAAAGGAGTTTCTCAAAGTTAAAGTTATTAAAATTATACTTGCGGTCAACCATGTTGCAGGAAAGGTTAAATGGACTAGCTTTGATATTGATTGAAAGTGCTTTTTTAGACAAAATTGATTATGAAGGTTTAATTGATGATTTTGCAGCAAAAAATGCACGAAGAGCCATCTTTAAGTGAAGATTCAGTGCTAGACTTTTTTAAGTTTTGTTTATTTGGTTGCTTTAGATTGAAATTATTGTTAGTTATTAGTACTATGGTTATTTTGTATCTTTCTTTACATTTAATAATATTTAAAAATAGATGGTTAGTTAGTTTTAATGTTTATTTCAATATTGATTTTTAGCATCAATACATTGTTCAATTTTTTTTTTTAAATGTCTTATAAGAAGAGCCACTTTTATGAATTTTGCACAGGGACCCCAAAATCTCAGAGACGGCTCTGTCAACTTCATACCTTGACGGCTTAATGAACTAATGAAAACTCTAAACCCTCAAAAAATCATCCCCAGAGCCCAACAGACCTTCTAAAAAGTTCTAAAAGGAAAAATTATTTTGGGAACAAGATGGTATTCTCCTTTAATCCAGTCGTACATTTCCTTAGAACTCTATTTATTTTAAAGAAAACTAATGAAAATGACTTGAAAACTTTGAGTTTTAATGATAAAGACAAAATAAAGGGTAAAGTGAATAGTACCAGGATTGACTTTTTAGACTAAAAATATGATTTTTTGTTAAAGTAAACAGTACTATGAGTTTTTCGTTAAAACTCTCTTATTTTAATTCTATTACAATCCGAATTTGAATGAGCCCCGAACCGAACCAAGCTCGATTCAAATTCGAGTTAGAGCCCATTCTGATACCTACATAAGCCCATAAAAGCCCACAAAACCCGAAACGGACTCCAAAACAAGTTTTTAGACAGAATTGACTGCACTCCATAGATCCGACGGAAATCATAAACTTCCTTTCTTCTTCCCATATTCTTGTTCCAGCCATTAACGACCGGTCTGAAGCTCAATCTTTTATTTGGACGCTCTTCCAAAACCAAATTTCCCATAAAAAAAAAAAAAAAAAAAAGTATCTGTAAAAGGTACGTAATTCGAACTCTTATACCATGAGCAATACTTGATTTTATGGAATCTTCCCATCGAATTAGATTTGTATTCGTAATAATTAGCATAGTGTGAGTGTGTAGCAGTGCAGGTGTGATTTTCTCTTGAAATTTAAAGGGTATTTGTTTCTTAATGTTTGTAGAGAATTAAAATTTGACATTTAGAAATTGGAATGCTGTTTTGTTCTTGGTACTCATGGGACAAACTGTTAATTAAATTAAAGCTTTAGTTTTTAGGGTTTTTTAGGGTGGCCATAGCCGCATTACACAAATTTGAGATGGTATGGGTATTGGGTACCTCAGCCCTGGGGCTTAAATTGAAAGCAAGTTGCTTTCATCTGTTTATTTTTTATTTTATCGTTAGTATTTTGGTTTTGTGATTATTTTGGTGTCACTTGTAATGGGTTGTTTTGGGCTCCCGTAGAATGGTGTGAAAAGGTTACATTGTGGAACTTGGCTATATCTGTGGTATCCATTATCCTCTAGCATGCTGAAAATGGTTTGTTGGTTTCGGAGGTTTGACATCGAAACAGGTTGCAATTTGTCACAGAAATTATTGATTGTTTTGCAGTATAGAGACCAAAGTTGGCATCAGTACCGTTGGTTTCATAACATAGATTTCAATAAAAGATACTCATGTATAAGTAATATATGACTAGCAGGCAAACGGACATCTATGTATGCAATATTGTTCAAAATTTGTGTATGGAACTTAAATATGATATCTTTCAGTTGTATGTTCAGAACTCCGTTCTGTTTACTTATTATGATTGAATACATTGCAGGGATATTGGTTCTCTAGGGAGAACAATGGGAGATTTAGATAATTGTGTTAAAGATGATTCAACATTGGCCTAGAGAATCGGACCTTAACTTTGCAGTTGGTGACGATGAAGAAAACTTTGAAAGAGGAGGTGACTTCGATCAGGATCAGAACCAACATGAGCAACGTAGTTCCCCCTCACTAAATCCGGAATATTCTTACGTTGTGGCAACTGAATCTGGTCATGACAGTGTCGTTGAAACAAAATTTGCCCATGATCCAGAGAGGACTCAGTCTCCATTCAAGGACAATAACCAATACCAAGGTGAGATGGATGAGTTGCATGGAAATAATTTTCTTAACCCCTCCTCTCATTGTAAGTCACAAACATTCCATAATGAAACGGGAGCTGAAGATTCTGCTCATTCACAGGAGTCTCCACTAACAGCAAATGCAAACCGGGGAGCTGGAGAGCAGAGCGAATCTGACATGGGTAGGCCAATTGATGCTCCGCATGGTGGAGGAGAGAACAGATTTTATTCAGAGAGATCACAATATGAATATAGTGAACCCAAGAAAGATGACTCCCTAGGTGAGAACAGACACCCTGGCATATATCATTCTGATCTTCATTCTCCCAAAAGCACTGCTGGAGGATCAGTGTCTCCTAAGACAAAGAGACAAATGTCAATTTCACCTGAAGGCTCGCCTTCTCATCAAGGTTCTCAAGCACGAATATCTCATTGCCGGAAAATTTCTTCCCCTGATTTGCATAAAGGAATTTCACTTGATCAATTATCTCCGGCCAGGCAAAGTTCTGCTTCAACACAGGGCATTCAGCGTCAGTCTCAGCATAAGGATAGCTCGTCTCACAAGCATATAACTTCGCCCCCAAGGTCCCATCGCTCACCCCCAAGGTCCCACCGCTCACCCCCAAGGTCCCATCTTTCACCACCAAAGTACCGGAGAAGGGATAACTCAGAGTCACGATCATCCATTCGACACAGAGATTCCTATGGTTACCAGAGGGATTACCGTGACCGAACCCGATCACGGTCCCCATATTCAAGAGTCCATCATAGGTCCACAAGGTTAACATCTATAGTCTCTCCATTATCATATGTTAAAATTCTATCAGTTTCACATGGCAACAACTTTATTATAAGATTTGGCTTATCTCTTTCATTTGGTACTCCTATCCATGAGCCATGACCACCTCAAAAACTGCATTTCCCAATCAAGCACTGTTATCTGATTGAATTTTGGATTGTAATCTCTCAAACCTTCATCAACATTTATATATAATATTAATACGTTAGACGTAACTAGCTTTCTATCATCAATCATGTTTTTCTTTATCCCAAATTATACGAAAAATATTCTTTGACTTCTAATTCATATGCATTACCATAAAGTTATGATTATGTAAATTGAATAGTCCAAGATTTTTGAAGTAAAATGGATTACTTAATGAGTGGAACTTTCACACTTTGGTTATGTCAAAGATCTCTCTACCCTCCAAAACATATAGTTCGGTTCCTAATGTTTTATCCCTTAATTCGTATTAGGGAAAGGCATTCTCCAAGGCGAAGGTCCCCTTTTCCAGAATATCATCACCGATCTCCTAGAAGGAGACCTTGGTCACCACCGCCTAATAGGAAAACTGGATTAGGGAAACCTGGGAGAAATTTATTTGTTGCAGGTTTTAGCTTCGCGACTACAGAGAGAGATCTGGAAAGGAAGTTTTCTAGGTATGGCAGAGTACAACATGTTCGGATCGTTAGAGACCAGAGGTAATTGTGCAGTTTACCGTATACTTGCATATATTGAGGTGGTTGACATGGATACGTGATGCGTTCTCTGTCGGTGAAACATCTGCTTTGCTTAGCTATTACCTTGTGCATGCGTTTTCCTTGTGATACATACTTGTTAGAATCTTCTTTGAGTTGAGTTTTTATTTTTGTTGCAAATTTGTTTCTTCTAAGGTCGGGAGATTCGCGTGGATTTGGATTTTTGACGCTGGAAACGGATGAAGATGCTGATGCGGCTATCAGAGCTCTAGATGAGACTGAGTGGAATGGTCGGATTATTCTTGTCGAAAAATCCAAAAGTTGAGGGCTTGAGACTCACCTTGATCACAACTAGCCATTGAAATCTTTTTTTCAGTCGTGTAATTTGGTTTTCTGAAGTTAGTACTGCCCACCAGTGTTGTATAAAAAATGAGTACAGATTATATATCACATCATAAGGGATTCCTTCTCTTCATTTTTCTGTATTTATTTGAATGAGTAGATCTCATCAGTCATCTCCTCTGTAAGTTGTTGGGTCTGTCAAAGATTCAAATAATACAGAGATGGTAATTGATCAATCTGATTCGACGTTTGTACATAACAAATAATACAAAAACTAAATTTGGGATTCATGCATTATGGTGAATGCATCATGTTATTAAGGCCGATTAAAATAACGAAACTGAAACTGTGTTTTAGGAGGTACTTGATTGAGAAACTAAGGAGGCCTTTGAACTTGGTTGTGAAGATCTATCTCTTCCGTTATAGGCCTATTTTAGTGAGGGAGTAGGGAGAAGGTGCGACACAAGGAGAAAGAAAGAAAAGTGAGTTAAAAAATTTGTATGACATAGTTTCTCACCACTTTGTGTGTTTATTTATAATAAGCATAACTGACTTTCTTGCTCTCATTTTTTTTTTTCATGAGTAAATTACACAGAACTACCTAAACTATTGGTCATGAACAGTTTCATACCTTATCTTTAAAAAAATTTAATGTCATACCTCATCTTCCTCACAATCCACCCCTTTCTTCCCCTCCCGTCTTCCCCTTCCCTCTTCCTCCGTACCCACCCTCTTCCCTCCTCTACACACCCCACTCCTTAAATCCACACCCGTTTCCCCCATTTTCTCCATGCCCAATTTCTCCACCTGTGGAATCGGCAGAAGACGGGATCTGGGTTGTAGGGAAAGGGGATCGGCGAAGATGGTTTTTTTTTTTTTTTAATTATAATTTTTTTAATTTTTAATAACTTTTCTTTAATTAATTATTATTTTAATAATTAAAAATATTAAATGATTCTTTTTTTTAGTTTTTAATAATATTTTATTAGTTTTTTAATAAAAAATGCGTCACGTCACAAGCTACGTCAGCATTTAACGGAGGAATTAATAGACAACTGACGGAAGGTATGACATTGCAACAAATTCGAAGATACGGTATAACATTTAAACTTTTTAAAGACAAGGTATGAAACTGTTAAGATAATTCTGTGTAATTTACCTTTTTTTTTATTTTTTATTCCAAAGGGTTCACATAACTTGTACAAGACAAGGATAGTGAAAAATGATGTAATAAAGTTGCATGATAAGCACAGAGTTATGCTGAGGGCCTGAGGCTGCTGATCGCTGCACAATCCTTGCTTGCAAGCTCATACATGTCAGTTTTTGTTGCTTCTAAAAACTAAAAAGCCATATTATATCATCAAAGCGCAATAATACGCCCAACACACCCGATAACTTTTTCCGGACATAATCTATTGCCACATGAAAATGCATGCTATTAACAGCAGTGCACGTGTGAGTGCGCTTACCACCCTAGCCTTGTCTACTTTGTTAGTTGATTCTGGCCGTTTTTGCTTCGTGGGTTGGCATGATCCTCACTTACAAAAGTATGAATGATCAGATCTCTGCACATATGTATACGTAACTATTCCTATATCACTTCGTTCATGATATAATTGCACAAGAAAAATGCTAAAGTAGTTACTCACGTGACTTGTCTTAATGTCTTATTGTGAGCTGATATTAACTAATGCTTGTTCGACTAATCTTAGCAATCCCCATTCATATTTTTAGTATTATTATTGGGAATTGTTATTAGCACTACAAAAATCTCATTCTACACTCTAAACTTTTTATATTATAAAAGAAAAATACATTTGTGAGAAATGTAGAATGAAATTTTTGAAATACTAATAACATTTCTCTTATTATTTTGTGGATTTTGTTTGTAGTTTTGTGATGCTGACAACACAAGGTCTTTTCCTTCATGTTTGGGCTTCAAAGCATGTGGATGGAAGCACGAGCACACAACACAATCAAAACCAAAAACGCCTAGTTGTGAAGGTAAAATTGCATTTCCATTTTCCGGCAAACAAAAGTTTGGTAATCCCTAATGGGGTCCCATACGTACTTATTGACGTTCCACGTTCCACGTTCACGTTCCACGTTCCACGTTCCAGCTTCTCTCAAGAATAAGGATCCTCTCCGGTTCTCTTTGTTGAGGATTCTAATGATCCTCAAATTATGTCTGTTCATCGTACATCGTATTATCAGTTTTCTTCAAATATTAGTTTCTATTTAATTTTAAATAAAAATATTTAAAATAATTTCTAATTACATAATATCAATAAACAAACATAATTTAAGAATTCCTAAAACGCAAAAAAAGAGTCAGAAGAAGATTCTCTTTCTTCTTTCAATAGCCACGACAAATAGAATACCCAAGTGTCCCGTGTATATTATCCACTATTTTGGTGGAATTTTTGGGTCCCACAATATGAGTCCCCGTGTTGATCGAACGCGACTTTTGGGATCCCATGTTGGATGATCACATTCAAACCTTTGATGCGCAACTTTTCGCGACAATGTGAAATTATTAATGTTTCGAGACACAAGTCAGTACACCATGTGTTGTTTAACAACGATAAATGCAGAGATCTAGTATCATATTATGATAGAAATAAAGCTTATTTTCTTCAGTGTGGCTAAAATATTATGTGGTTTAAAGTGCACTAGAATATTAATGAAGTAGATGAAAGTATGATTTAATTTTTAAATCTCAAACTTTTATTTACTTCGTATTGAATGTCACGTGATATTATAAATTTTCCTCATATTACAAAGTTATGTAACATTTTCTCATCGAACTTGTTGTCGGACAAATTATTTGTTTACAAGACTATTTGAATCACACATTTAAGAAAATAATCATTCAAATAATGAATCAGATTTAATCTAACAGAATAACTATATTCGTAATTTAAGTATATCTTGAGTCCCCATATGGTTTGATAAGAGCACATCTACTCATGTTATATATGAAAAAAGATATACTTATCAAGTGTTACTATAAACTATGTTTTTACTTTAGGTAAGGTAAAATTATCAAGCAATTTATTCAACTAGTACTTGAGTTCACACTCACAACTCAAGATGTAACAAAATCATCCACTCAAATTTTCCCACCATTTCTTTTTTCACACATTGCTTTCAAAACACTCAAATTTTGGTACACACGTATGAACGACTTATCAAAACTAATTTAAATTATCCGCTATACTAACAACATATTAATGTGATAATATTTTTCTTAATTTTCTTAAGAGATATCAACTTCAAGGCTCTCATTCTAATATGAGAAAAGTATTAAACAATGACCAAAAGGAGCAACAATAATTAAATTAGAAAGAAAAAGAAAGTTCCATTGACACTTGATAATTGTTCACCATAGACTCTGCAAAAGTATAGTCTCTTTGTAATAATTCAAGTCTTTTTTTTTTTCCCTCGGGAAGTCATTGCGTTTTGTGAAATGATTACAATTTTATTTTTATTCATAGTTGTTCAATCATTATGACTTTTTATAATTCATGTGCAGAGTTCAATTTATTAAAATGTTTACATTGTAAAATTGGGTTTAAATCATGTTCTCAAAGTAAATCTGACACGCACAATCTGAATATTCAGATGAAAATTTAGATCAAATCGTGTTGGTCGATATCTGAAAAATGAGGTGATTCTGAATATCAACCTGCATAGGCCTGGTTTGGTACTGAGGTGATTCTGAAAAAAGCTGGGAGCTATTTTTGTGTTTGGTAAAAATTCAGCTTCAGCTTTTTTTCACAGTTTTGAGTGAAAAAAAGCCAAAAACAAGAAGCTGAAAAACCCATCTTTGAAAAACCGGCTTTTTTTCACATCTGTTTTACATAAAAGTTTACCAAACACTATAATACTGTTTTTTTTTTTTTTTTTTTTTCAAAAGCACTTTTACAAAAAAGTTTATCAAACACTCTGCTGCTTTATTTCACAGCTGTTTATTCTCACAGCACATCAAAAGCATTTTTTTTCAAAGCACATCAATACCAAACCAGCCCATAGAGAGTAGTTCACAATCCTAATGGGTCTCAAACCCTCCACTACAAGCATGTTCATAATCCAAACATAAGTACTAATTTTATGCTTAAGTATCCAAAAGAAATTCTAGATGTTTTATCCATGCGCAAATGGATTTACTATAAAAGTCCTACAACAAGGATTAGTCTTCCTACATTAGTCCTCGACGTCTACCTGTTCACTGCTACTAGGTTATGAAGGGGGCGATAGATCAAAAACCATGGTAGATGTTTTGCAAAACAATAAACAATAAACATGTTACACGTATTAATAATAAAAAAACATAGTACACGTATCTTTTATTTTTAATTTTTTCCAATAAAAATGTTACAGCTATCATTTAATAAAAAATATCAGCTTATAAATTACTTTTTCTTCTTGTTAGAGGTATAAATTACTTGAATACGAAGAAAGAAACTACGATAATAAATTAGTCAACTCGGATTCCTTAAACTATACCATATAAATAATGAGAAAAACATAAAACAAAGTTTGATTCAACAGCTCGGTTTATGAGAGCAATTTTATATAAAACAATTTCATCACCATATGATTTTAATTTAATTAATATACTATTACCTTGTGTTATGATGGACACTACACAATTTTTACCGTGGACTCTAAATTTTTTATTTAAAAAAGCAGACGTATTCATGACATCACTTTTTTTTTATACAATTTTTACACGTTTTTGTGAGGTCCACTTAGTAATATATTTCAACAATTCAAACCGTTTAATTTTTAGGTATTTCCTCAAAGTTTATGTCTACCAAAAATCATCAAATCTAAAACCATAACTGTTGGATTAAGGGTTTATGTTTTTTATGTATAACCGTATTTGTCCATGTTATTTACTACAAATGCCGGTTTGGTGGGTTGGATGAGACTGAGTTTTAGGGACATGATTGAATTGGTAGGATTTGTAAGACAGTACTTGTAACTCATGTGTAAGGATGAGTTAGATAACTCATCCTATTGTGGATTCATAACTCATCTTGTCCATTTCACATTTGACACAACAAACAACGGACTGAGACTCAAATTCATTTTAATTGATCACAATCTATCATATTCAGCTCACTAAACGTATGATTTTGGATTTGATCAATTTTGAAAGAATAATCTATAAATAATATTTTTTAAAAAATAGACGGTTCAGATGCTACAACCAAAAATATACATTAATGTAGTTGGTAAAATCCGTTCCATTTGTAATTTGTTGGATTATTAAGCAGTCCCGGTGAAGGCTATAGCTACAGAAATTCGTGTCTCTGTCATTGTCTCTGTCCTTGAGTTGAATTGGTAGACCTGAAACATTCAACAATTCCACTTGATTGAAAAGTTTGGCCATCTTCTTTCTTCAAATTTACCTTGCAATTCCAGCCTACTTTTCTCAAACCCTTTTCCAAGTTGCCTTCTTTATCACTTTCTCTCCAAATCCTCATCTGGGTTCTCTCTCCCTTACCTTTCTGATCCAAAAGTCTTTTGTTTCTCTCTCTCTCTCTCTCTCTCTCTCTCTCTCTCTCCTCTGCAATTCCAGCATAAGAGGTATTACTTGAGCAAAAACAACAAATGGGCAAGTGTCTAAGCAAAAGCAAAGATTCAGAGCGACAACGTAATGGTTACATATCAGTAGGTGGCGGAGAAGGAGGAGGTGGGGTCCACCAGCAGAAACCCCATAGCCATGAAGCTGCTGCTGTTCATCAACAACGACCCGAAAAACGCGGTCTGCCAGTCAACCAAGAACCCCAACCAGCATGGAAGCCGACAGTCCCGGCTAGAACCCCCAAACCAGCAGCTCAAAGGCCGGCAGACAACACAATCCTCGGAAAACCGTTTGAGGATGTCAGGGTGCACTACACCATTGGGAAAGAACTGGGCAGAGGCCAATTCGGCGTGACCTATCTCTGCACCGAGATTTCGACCGGCAAGAAGTACGCCTGCAAGTCGATTTCGAAGCGGAAGCTTGTCACCAAGAACGACAAGGAGGACATCAAGAGGGAGATTCAGATCATGCAGGATTTGAGCGGGCAGCCCAACATTGTGGAGTTCAAAGGTTGTTACGAGGACAAGCAGTCTGTCCATGTTTGTATGGAGCTGTGTGCAGGTGGAGAGCTGTTTGATAGGATCCTTGCCAAGGGACATTACAGCGAGAGAGCGGCTTCTTCAATATGCCGGGCGATTGTTAATGTTGTCCACATCTGTCATTTTATGGGGGTGATGCATCGGGACCTGAAACCGGAGAATTTCTTGCTCTCTAGCAAGGATGAGAATGCCCTTCTCAAGGCTACCGATTTCGGGTTGTCCGTCTTCATTGAAGAAGGTAAATTTGGATATCATTTTTCGTAGTTACTTGCTTGGAAATTCAGTATCCTTCACAATTGATATGATAGATATAAGGGATTAGGTGAATTGTGCGCATATGCTTCGATCGCAGAATTGTCTTTATCTGGAAATGATATTTCTAGTGATAATGGTACTAAATTCATGCCCAAAGTCAATGCAGAACCTAGCTGGATTTCATAATACATTGTAAGTTGACAGAAGACGACGCCATTTTGTTTTAGAAAATAAGTAAGGGTAACCAGGACATGTTAGCTGGCAATTCAGATGGTAGATAAGCACTTTATCAAAACCGAATTATAAATGTTGAATTTATTACCTTTAACACTGGTAGATAAACTGAGCCTCATGTTAGGGAACGAAGACGAATTGAATTTCATCAGTTTAGAAATCACTGCTTTGGTAATTTCATTTATTTTGCCATGTTTGATCGATGATGATGCACGCTACACCAAACATGTTTCGCTGTCATATTTCCATAATGGCCTCCTCCATTCTTTTCATGGAAGTGAGATGGAAGGAAAAGAAAAGAGCTATACTGTGAATGTCTGATGCAGTTGTATTAATGGCAAGTTAACAACATCTTTAATTGCTTGGGGGGTGGGGAGAGATGATCTTCAATTATGCAGCTTCATCGTTTTTAAAACTCTGGTAGTAAGGTGACATCTCTGTAAGGCAAGGTCACACTAAGACTGAGAACAGCAACGGAACACTCTCTTACCCTCAGTGACCAACAGTAAAAAAAGGCATATTATGTTTGCATCCTATTTTTGCATATCTCTGTGAGATGGAGTCCAGACCTGTAATTTGCCAGCATTAAAGTTTCCCATAACTATAAATTGTGTTTACTTTTAGCACCATAATTAGAAACATGTATTTTAACACTTTTGTCGAACTTGGTTTTTCTGGAACAGGCCAAATATGTTGTTTGTCGTCTTTTGGACCTTCTTAATATGTTCTCTACTTTCATGGGTTTCACAGTTATCCTTAAGATGACATCATAGCGTCACTAGATTGTTTGCTTAAGATTTTCTTTTGTCAAATTTGCTTATGATTTTGGTGTTTCTCGTCTTTTAAAACTAGAGATGAGTAGATTCTGTATTTTCTTTGTAATTTACTAATTTACCACAGATATATGTACTATGCTCGACAACTGTTAGCATTTGGTGAATATTTTTCTTTATTGTGTATGTTATGCTTCCACTTGTAGCATAGCTATTCATTATCTTTTATGATAAACTCTTGTCAGGAAAGGTGTATCGTGATATGGTTGGGAGTGCTTACTATGTTGCTCCAGAAGTATTGCGACGCAGATATGGGAAGGAAATAGACATTTGGAGTGCAGGAGTTATATTGTATATTTTACTAAGTGGAGTGCCTCCATTTTGGGCAGGTAAAGACACAGTATTTTGTTTTGCTTAACATAATATCTTTGTGTACTAGTTTATAGGTTCTGTATTTTTCGTGTTGGTTTAAACAATTAATAGTTTCCAATGACTGATTTAGAAACGGAGAAGGGGATATTTGATGCCATAATGGAGGGAGAGATTGACTTTTCAAGTTCACCGTGGCCATCTATATCAAACAGTGCCAAGGACCTAGTCCGGAAGATGCTAACACAGGACCCTAAAAAACGTATCACTTCGAGTCAGGTTCTAGGTATAGATCTCTTCCTTTTACTTGATACTTTACTTGGCTTATTGTGTCTAGCAGATATATCTTGTAACTAAAACTTTTGAATTTGGGTGGCCAACCAGAACATCCATGGATCAGAGATGGCGGAGAAGCTTCAGACAAACCCATAGACAGTGCAGTGCTTTCTAGGATGAAGCAGTTCAGAGCTATGAACAAACTGAAAAAACTTGCATTGAAGGTATGTTGATCAAGAGGTTTTCGGACACAGACTACTTTGAATTTTGAATTGTGCTGTGATGGTACCATATACTCTGTAGATTGGATCTGATTGTGCTTCGATTCTAACTGTGTATAATTGATGAATATGGTTATAGGTTATTGCCGAAAATCTTTCTGAAGAAGAAATACATGGGCTGAAGGCAATGTTTACAAACTTGGACACTGACAATAGTGGAACCATCACTTATGATGAACTCAAGTCAGGATTGGCTCGACTTGGTTCTAAGCTCACAGAGGCTGAAGTCAAGCAGCTAATGGAAGCTGTACATATCATTCAATTTAAAATATCCAAGTTTTCTTTTACCTTTCGCATCCCACCCAACTCATATTCTGCATTTGCATTTCAGGCTGATGTGGATGGGAGTGGATCAATTGACTACCTTGAATTCATCACTGCTACAATGCATAGACACAGGCTAGAGAGGGACGAACATCTTTACAAAGCCTTTCAATATTTTGACAAAGATAATAGCGGGTAAGCTTTTTCTTCAAATCTCTAAGAATTGCGCACGCTTTCTTGGATGTTCATTTTCAAAGAACTAGAAAGTTGTAGGATGCTGCAGTTAATTACAATTCTGCGATAACTGACCTCAGCTCCTAGTCGCTCTGGATCCAGTTCTCATATTCTTAACCGCTAAATTAGATAAGATCAGGCTTATGGGTAAGCATGAATGATCGATTACCTAATGCTTTTTTTGTGTGTGTTTATTACAGGTTTATCACAAGAGACGAGCTAGAATCAGCAATGAAAGAGTATGGAATGGGTGACGAAGCTACGATTAGGGAAATAATATCGGAAGTTGATACAGATAATGTAAGTCAACATCCACACAACATTTTTGAATTTCTCCATTATCATGCACATTAGTACTCAATTCCATTGGGATTACAGGATGGTCGGATCAACTATGAAGAGTTCTCCACGATGATGAGAAGTGGAATGCAACCACAGGCCAAGCTATTCTAAAGTTTCGTTTTGTTGCCAATCTCCGACTGTTGCAAGCCATGAGTTCTGCTCGTAGAATATATATGTGTGAACTGAGGGAGGACCACGAGTCGCATGAGTGGTACTTCATGCTTGCTGCCGATTGCTTGCCGGAGAAATGAACGTTTTAGTTCGGATTGGTTCTGAGTTACAAGTGCAACAGTTTGTGCTGCACAAATTGTGCATAACAAGTCAGCATCTCTATTTTATCTTGTATTTGTCTTTGTTGTCTTGTCTACATTCTGGCGTGTCGATATTTTGAGGTAAATCATTTTAGCTCTCATGTTTGGCTCCGTACATTCTTTTTCACATTAATAAATGATGAGAAATAATTTTTGCACGTCTTTTTTCACCCCTACGCACTGTTTATTTTGGATTAAACAAATCGATGGAGAATCAAGTGTCAGAATTGAGAAGGCTGTGAAAAAGGTGAAAATGATAGATGCATAAATCACTTTCCTAAATGAAGGCTTCCTTGTACAGGGATTTGTAGGAAGGGAGGTGGTTTTACGCAATTATTTTTAGCTTCTCACACATCTATTTTATTTTCAGCTTCTGAATAATTAACAAGATTAAACAAGGATGTGTAAATTTCTCTTGTAAGAAATGCTATAGTTTTAATGTTAGCAACTCAACCCGTGTCGAAATAATTTGCACCGTCAGATCTTTGTCTCTCATCATGTAGTGGGTTTGTTAGTTGGTTTAGCCAGTCTATCTCTCTCGACACGAGCTGGAGTCCTCCACCTATTATTAGCTAGTCTAGCCAGTCTATCCCTCTCGTCAGGTGGAGTTCTCGACCTATTATTAGCTAGTGTATCCAGTATATCTCTCTTTTTGGTTTAGCCAGTCTATCTCTCTCGACACGAGCTGGAGTCCCCCACCTATTATTAGCTAGTTTAGCCAGTCAATCCCTCTCGTCACGGTGACGAGGTGGAGTTCTCGACCTATTATTAACAGAAAAAACATTAGAGTTGATTAACAATGAAATCCCATAAAATTGAACTGAAATCCTCATCAACCAACAAAAATGGAAGCAAATTAACAAAGACCAGCATCATGCATCAGAAGTCCATAAATTCCATATTATATAGACAATTCTGTTATTACAACCCCAGAACATCCAAACAAGCCAGGAGGTTCTGGGAGGTAGTAGCAAACTTAATACAACGGTAACAAACTCGACTACGACTCCAAGTCCTCAGAAACCATGAATCTTGATCTGATCCTTCTTGACAATCTTGGCCTGAACGAGAAACTGCAGCACGTTCTTGCGCTGATCGCCTTGGAGCTGAATTATCTTGCCGAGCTCTTTGTCCTGAACGACATTCCCGTTGCAGCAGAACTCTTTCTTAAGGTCCTTGAGGATCTTGTCGTAGCTGAAGTCCTTCTTCAGCCCTTGAACTGTCGTCAAGCACTTCTTTCCATTTCTCTGCTGCACCCGGATATGCACATACTCCTTGGCTCCGGGGGCATCTACGTCTTTGGCTTCGGCGAACGGGTCAAAAGCAGTTGGGATCTGAACGTCTCGTTCAACCATATATGTACTTTGCTTTGACTTGAGAAATCTACTGCAAATTCAGCTGCACACACACAACAAACAAAACATTGTTAGCCCTCCTCCCATGTCCTGTCCTCCACAAATATTGCTTCAATACCAAGTTACCAACAATCTTCCAACTAACTCGGATGATGGACACATGAAATTCAATTTATAAAACCATGATTAGCTCCATCTATGCCACAAATTATAATGACAGTTTTTGTTTATTTATCAATTCATAAAATCGTAAAGTTTCCCAAATCAAAAAGAAGAAAATTTAGCACTTGTAGAAATAAATGCATCGTGCTCATCTTATGGCGCCAATATCAACCCACAACAAAGCACATGGGCTTTGTGTAAATCCTCCAAGATCCAATTTTGCACGCTTATTTTCTCCTTCGGCACACCGTGTAGACATGATTTTGTTCTTGAATTGTCCGATCATTCATTCAATCCAAGGGCTGGAATAACCAAAGGTGTGCAGGGGAAGAAAAAAAAAGTGTGGACAAATCACATCCCAAGCACATGAAGAACATAACTTAATTTGTTCATGCATGATATGACATCCCAAACACCATATGACAGATTCACAGAAGCATCAGTATTTACAGACACACAAAAACATATAGCATCAACATCCTAAAACATCACTCGACAAAGAAATTAAAGAAAGAAAAACAAATCATTGGAATTGGATCGTACCAGAATAACAGAAAGCTGGAAGGAGTAAGGCTTCTTTTCGTTTTTTGTCGGGAAACCTTACTCAACGAACAAGCTTTGGAGGAGACAATATGAAGAAACTTGGGAGTCCTGGGGTCTATTTATATAGGCCTCGAGAGCCGTTGGCTGTAGCACCAGCACCACAAATTCAACAAAACACGGTTAACCTGAGCCGTTGGCTGTAGCAACTGGACGGACGAGATCGAGTGTCTGTTGACTTGAACGGTGAGATCAACCTGACGTGTGTGATTACTGATTAGTGGATTAAAATATATTTTTTAATTAGTTAATCTTTCCGGGGGAACGCTTACAATGAACGCACCCAGGCTGGCAAAATCCATGCAACTATGCAAGTGCAAGGAAAGCAACTTTAGAGCATCTTCAAAGAAGATATCAAAAAGATCATATCAGTAATAACGGTAATAAAAGACATCTTAGTCTTTTTCAACTGAAATGTCAATTCCTATAAGCCATGACATGGAAAGGCAGCAGAGGAAGTTGTTGTCAAATTTAATAGCAGCTTCAAATCTATTTTTAGTAATTAATAAATATTTTTCATAATTTTTATACTTGTCTTTTGTTTCAAAATACTAATTACAACTATACAAAGTAAATAATATAATAAATAATAGTTTAAATTTGACATATCAGTTAGAGAACAAAATTTATAAAAAAATCAATGTGCCACATAAGCCTTCAAATTTAAATTTTGTATTTAAACTTTAACATTTCCTTTGAAGAAAGTCTTATATGCAACATGTTTCTATGTTATTGTGGCATCGGGTCAACAACACATTGTTATTTGAAATTGGAATATCACGTGACTATTTCATGTAAGTTGTTCTTGATAAAAAGTAAGAGAAATTTATTCACTATTGCGTTAGCATTCTGTTTAATAATATATTATTATTTAAAATTCAAATATCAGTAGCGTTTCACGTAAATTGTTCTCGTGAGAAAAGGAAGACATTCGGTGGGAAGAAAGAAAGGAGGGTAAAGCGAGTGGGGGGCCACGACGAAGAATCCAGAACATTTGAGTTGATATAATAAAATGGGAACAAAGGGGTCCATCCAATCGGCATATCAAGATACGTGTGAATAATTGAACTGATTGGTTTGGTGGTACCTACACAGTTGGATAAGAAGCAAAGACCGTCTAAATCGGGCATTTTCTTTTTGTCAACTAAAGGCAGGAATTTTTATTAAACACACAATATAAATTTACAAACCACTGGGCCACGTACAAAATATACAAACCAAAAAGAACCATCCCAAATAACAGAAAAAGCCCTACCAAAGGTTGAGCTGAAACCAGAAAAGAACACCCTAGATCTCTGCTGCAGCCGTTTCCACATCAGAAAATCACATCCAGCAGCCCGCTTCCACGCTAACGACAAAGCATCCCCACTTCGATCGCCTTTATTAGCTGAGAACAGCTCTTCAATCGCAACCACAAGCTGGAAAAAAACCAGCCATGAGGCCTGTGGAGATCCACATGCAACGCTGCCAAAGGCAGAGAGACAAGGTGGTGGTGTGGATAACACCCGAACCAATAAGAACACTGGAATTCGATACACTGACTTGATAAATCACGACGAATCGCGATGAAAAGTTGCTACAGATTGAATTGGAAATGACCCAGAAAAAGGGATGCCAAAGAATTGTGGAGAACAGACTGGAAAAGGATTGGTAGGAAAGGGAAAACACAGTAGAAAATCACAAAGGGACAAACAGAAGGAACAGAAAAAGAAAAGAGCTAGGATTAGCGACAACGTAAAGTGATGAAATTTTGAACACTCGCACGAGACAGTGAGAAAGACTCTCAAGCAGAGAGAAAGGAAAGCGGCGTGTAAATCTTTGTAGCTAGCTAGTTAGATAGCCATCAATTTCTATGATCTAAATCGGGCATATTTTGCCTAATGGGATTCATGTGACTAATCTTGGAATGTTGTTCTTTAAAACTCGAGAAATTTAGTATCATAGAAATAACATGAATCAAATTAGGAGGATCTTTCTCCACCACAATTGATAAAATTATTCAAAGCTATTATGAAACGGGGTAATTTTGTGAGGACGTGAAACTTTTTTATCTTTACATCTTCATAAATTTGAGACAAAAAGTAAATTTTGATAAATATTCGCTAACTGTATGGGTAAAATTGTACTTTGACGTGGCCTAGCGTGCGCACATCGCCTCACGTAAAACAATCCGATAGGCCACCCCACTTGGCAGAGTTGGAAGGCTTAGCGGGCCAAGTAAAGGGCCTAAATGGACTCATGTCTTTCGTATTCATCCCTTGTTGACTAAATGAGCAGAACAATGCGGCGTTAAAGCCAACCATTTAGAGAGCTCTACATGTGCCCTAATGAGTCACATTCAAATTCATGCCTAAATCTATATAAAGGCATGCATACACACAATAAAATGTAATTGTTCCTAACCAAGAAAATTAGTGCTTGAGAATCATTCTCCTGCAATTAAATCTAACTTACGTATCGTATAGTATTTGGCTCACACACACGGGTATGGATGTGATAAGGCCTCACTTATTGTTTCTTTCTTGGTTGCAGAGACATCAAAGTAGTTTTACACTTGTGTAGAATTTGTTCTCTACAATAGCAACCATGAAAAAAAATTTAAACTTTGGATATCCAATGAGGTGATGGAGCTTTGTTTGTTCGTATATGAGTGGGTTCCTAGTTTTTGTTTGAAAAAAAATAAATTAAATAGTTTATAAGGCCTTTTAGAGCAACTCCAGCGTTAAAGCCCTCCCCCCAGGTTATTCACTATTCAATCCACCTGATGAACAGTAACTACCCTTAATGAACAATAATCACCTTTTGCATCTCCACCGTTACACTTCAATAGCCCTGACAATAGGTAATAAAATATTAGTATTCTTTTTATTTATAAAATAATATAAAATAATTTTAATTGTAATTTCGGATAAGATTTTTAATCGTTCTTGTTGTGCCATGTGTCATTATCCAAAATATTATTAAATAATCCAAAATGATTTTATTTGTAATTTCGGATAAGATTTTTAATCGTTCTCGTTGCGCCACTTGTCATAAAATCCGAAAAGACAATTATTGGGGATGCATTTCCGATAAAATTTTTAATCGTACTCGTTATGCCACGTGTCATTATCCGAAAATACAATTATTGGTGATGGATTTCTAATAAGATTATTAACCAATCACGTCGCGCCACGTGTCATAATATGTTTACAATCTTTGAGGATAGATTTCCATCAGATTTTGAACGAATGACGGCATGCCACGTGACATTATCTACAACCTAATCCTTTCTAAATCCTCAGTATAATCCACCATCCATCCTCACAAATCTCACACCAATTTTCTCTAGATCTCTATCATTATTCATAGTTTCTGCTTCCTTCTTCACAAAAATCTGTATCATTATTCATAGTTTCTGCTTTTTTCTTACAATGTCTTCTTCTTCCTCAAGGATGATGTGGGAACTCGATCAGGAAGAGGAAGAATTGTTTAACCAATCAGAAGGAATGTTCAATCACCATGTGGCAAAAAATGAGAGAAAAGATGATGATGAGCGTAGAATGAGAGATGACGAAGTAAGAATTGGCAGAGCCTCACATTCCCGTTGAGTCATCCAAGTTGTGACTTAGATCTGCAGGCCCATCCATTTCGGAAACCCTGATAGAAGCGGGCAACGACGAGATATGGAACTCTTGGACGATTATTTTGTCCCTAATAATGCATTCCCTGATACGTACTTTAGACGTCGTTTTAGAATGGAACGACATTTGTTCAACAAAATCATGATTGCTGTTTGCAACCATGATTCTTACTTTGTGCAAAAGAATGATGCTTTTGGTGTTATGGGTCTTCTTCCTCAGCAAAAAATTACTACTGCCTTGCGGATGCTTGCATATGGAACATCTGCAGACCAAGTGGATGAGATAACGAGGATGGGGAAATCAACCATTCTTGAGTCCCTGATAAGGTTTTGCGGAGCAATCGAATCTATCTACACCGCTGAGTACCTCCGCAAACCTACAAACATGGACTTGGAACGGCTTCTGAAGAAGGCCAAGATGCGTGGTTTTCCTGGGATGATTGGAAGCATTGATTGTATGCACTGGACGTGGAAAAACTGTCCAAGTGCATGGCAAGGCGCTTATGGGGACAGAAAATGAGCAAAAAGTATCATTCTGGAGGCGGTGGCATCTTTTGATACATGAATTTGGCACGCATTTTTCAGGGTTCTGGGAGCTCAAAATGACATCAACGTCCTTACCCAATCCCCAGTGTTCAACGATGTCCTGCAAGGAAAGGCACCAAAAGTCACGTATGAGGTCAATGGATGTGTGTATGACGGGCCATACTACCTAGCTGAAGGCATTTACCCGCGATGGTCAACATTTGTTAAAACAGTGCTACGTCCGCGAAGTGCAAAGGAAAAACACTTTGCAAGCTGTCAAGAGGGGTGCAGGAAAGATGTGGAGCGTTGTTTCAGTATCCTCCAAGCTCGCTGGGTGATCATCAGGGGTGCTGCCAGATTGTTTGATGTAGAGTCGCTTCAATCTATCATGATGACGTGATGAATATGAAGCCGTTGATGAACATGAGCCAGACACGATGAACAATTCAAGAACACGTATACATTGTGCTCATGACGCCACCGATGAGCCCGTGCAACATGAGCCATTACAAAGGGATGGACGTTACAATGAAAGGCTCATTCAACGATATACTGCATTTCAAATGACAAAAATGCACAATGCTCGGCAAATTAACTTGATAGAGCACCAGTGGGCATTGAAACAAGCTGAAGATAATTAAGTTCATTTAGTGTGTTTTTTTGAATTTGGTATGTTTATGTAATTTTATTTGGTGTGTTTTATTATTTGGTACGTTTATGTAATTTTTTTAGTGAGTTTTTTATTATTCAGTATGCTTATGTAATTTTATCTGGTGTGTTTTTGTCATTTCAATAAATATTCTCTTAGTATAAATAACTTACCAAATTCATTTGAATAAATATTCAATAAATTGGAAACAACATAAAGTACTATATTCAATAAATAATAAATTACAACCCAAAGTGATTGGAAAATTATGGGCTCCGATTACAAAAACTACTCTATTCATCATCACTTAATCAATTTGTGGTGCTAGGATGATATTCTCTTGTGATGCTAGGACCATCTTGGCTTGCTCTCGCTTCTCTTGCACGCCTTATTCGCACCACATCCGCTTTCTTTGACTTCCAAAAAAATTTAGAATTTGGAGACTTCCCTTCTAAAGGCGTGTTCATAATCTCACGATCTCGTTGAGCCCATCTTTCTTCTCTAACATGTTCCCTTTCTTGCCTAAGTAGCTCTCTTTATCTCTCATTAGCCTGAAATTTTCTCTCAATAGTTGCAGTTTTTGCGTCCTTTCTAGCCTTATCAGCCTCATATTTCGCCAGTTCCTTCGCCAAAGTCAATTCACCTTGGCGAGTAAGTTCTTCCATGAACTTTGCATAATCATTCTTGGAAGCACTCCTTTTTCTCTTTGAAGCCTTCTTACCTTGATGCCTAATTGGATAACGGGTCGAACCCGACGCTTGTTCAGGGAGGGGCGTTTCGGGCACTTCTTCTGCATCATCTTCATGAACATGCGAGACATGATCGAGTGTAGAGTGTGGAAGGGTGCTGTTCATGAAAACTTCTGGACCGACAAGCACAACTCTAAATTTAGGACAATCTTTGACAATATTCCAACATTCCCACCGGTTGAATGATTTATTTTTGCTTTTAGTTTTGGCAGCGTACCAAGCTTGTGCTTGAAGTTCCTACACAATGCAGGAGAAGAAATAATTATAATGAAAATAGGTAACAAATAAATAATACAAACAAATAATTATAATGTAAGTAGGTAACAATTAAATAATACAAACAAATAATTATAATGTAAATTTGGGTATAGTACAAACAAATAAATAATATATTGTTACCTGATCCGAGTAATTTTCCCCACTTCGAATATTATTACTAGCTTGTGCCAAGGTGTCTCTCCATGTACTAAACGATTGGCTAAGTAATTTCCAACGACTAGACATCGATTCTTTGATTCTTTTCCCACCAATTTTCTCAAGATAATTGGTATGAATAAGACTTCACATTTCTCGCAACTGCATCTCATTACCTGTAAGCGAACTATGAGTAACTTCAACCCAGCTAATACACAATGCAACATCTTCAAGAAGCGACCAATTCGTACCTGCATCAGTAGTCATTTTGTTGAAAAAAAAATGGATTGAAACTTTGAGAGAAAGAAAGGAATGTGATTGAAAGTAGTTGAGAAAATATGAAATGGTGGTGTAAGGTAGATGATAATGAGAATGTATTTATAGAAAAGTAATAACAATTTTTTTTCGAATTTTTTACAATTTTTTACATTTTTTTTTTAATTTTTATTCAACTAATTAATCTCTATCGTTGGATATAAAAAAAATTTGAATTCCAACACTCCAAATTGTGTCACGTGTCACAACGGTAACTTTTCTTAATTTTAAAACTATTTTTTCTTTTATTTTTTTATTTATAAAGCATATTAATATCCACCGTTGATCTCATATCGAACGGTGGATATTAAATAAGACTTTTTTTATTTTTTTTATCGTTGAGATCGAATGGTCCAAGTTAAAGATCCATTGAGATCAAACGGACCGTGGGAAGCCACGTGGCTTCCCAACGGTAACTGAAAAGTGACTGTTTTTTTTCTGATTTTGTGTCGGTGACGTGCCCCCGCGCGCAAGTGGGGTGCACGCCCCTGACAGAAAAAAAATTTAAAAAGGCCTAACGTCAGGCTGACGTCAGGCCTGACATCACATCCACTCGGGCTCTCGGGCTGGCAATTCTTCACGGGCCCGGAGCTTGGGCCTCCACCTCCACTCGGGCTCCTTCACACTGGAGTCGGTCCACAGGGCCTCGGGCCCCTTTTCTCTGGCCTGTCCCCCGAGCACCCAGCAACGCTGGAGTTGCTCTTAGAGTAGGTCCGAAAAGTGAGTCTGACACTAATATATTAGAATCATATAGGAATCACACTCTTATAGTGGGTAGGAAAATTTAAGTGTGATATCAATGCATTGAATTGATTAGTTTAATACGAGTAAACTGTAATTTGAGCCCCTAAACTATCACCCAATTGGATGCTCTTTTGTTCTCTCTCCCAGTCCTCGTCACACCTATCTGTCACTCATTGGTTTTGGCCAGCAACTTGGAGCCGTCGCCGGCGAGTGGCGGTGGAGTGGTGGGTTGGGTAGACGGGTTGGGGAGGTCAGTTGGTGTCTACGGCCAGTTTTTCTGTGGGTGAAAAGGGTAAATTTGGAAGTTTAGGTGAATAAAAATTTAGTTGGGTGTACTTATTTAGAAGTGGGGTGCCAATAAAGGCAACCAAAGTTAGACAACGAAGTGTACTTCCCAACGTTTTGCGGGTTTACATTTGGAGTTGCAGAGTCGTCTTCATAACGGTGAGCGTGATTCAGTTGAGGTGGTTGCTTCTTCTCGTTTGCCAATATGCAGGTAACTACATGTAAACTTTAATTTCTCATCTCAATTGCGATATTATGGTCCAGTTCTTGCCTAAGTACTTGGTTAAAACCCTAATTTTCTTCTAGTTTCCTGATAGAGAAGAGAAAGAAAATCAGCGTAGAACCCTAATTTCATCACGTAGAACTCTAATTTTCAGTATTAAGCATCTCCAAGAGCCTATTCAATTTTTTTGTTAGTTTGGCTGCTCTGTTGAAAAACTTTTTTAGCTATCCAGTTTAACTTAACTCTCCAACTCTCCAACGCCCCCCCTCCCCCTTAGTATAGTTTGTGCTTGTGCTAAAAAAAAACCTAGGGGTTATTTGATACCCTTCTTGGACTTGTTTTTGAAACTGATGAGTTTTAATTTAGCTACATTCGTCATTTTTTAAATAAAAAAAATAGGATCCAAGAAGGATATCAAATAAGCCCTAATATTTTGTTACTTTTCAAGAGAGAGAGTTGAATGGTTTGAGAGTTTTGAAAGTTTTTTGATGTTTAGCTAAAATTCTTTCTATTTCTCTTATGGAGTGAGAAGACGTGACACAGAACCAAGCTCAATGGCGTTCTAGGATTTATATAGCCGACCCCACTTAGTGGGAAAAAACTTTGTTCTTGTTGTTCTCTTATGGAGTGACTATTCACTATGTTAGAGTGCCATTTAAAGAGTCTCTTGAAGTAAGGTTTTGTTGGGTTTTTGCTATAGTTAGCTAATGTTGTTTTAAAGAGTCTCTTGGAGATGCTCTAATACTTGAAAGTAGTAATGAGCATGCTAATTGTTTGTTTTTCTTGTATTGGGCTCAGGCCAGTGATAGGTTCAACATCAATTCCCAGCTTGAACATCTTCAAGCTAAATATGTTGGGACCGGGCACGCCGATATGAATAGATAGTGAGTATATCTTTCCTCTTATAAAAAATTGCAATAATCTTTTGTATTTCTGATTGGGTTATGTGTTAATTTTGAAATTCTTTTTCCTTTGGAATGTCTAGTGAATGGGCTGTGAATATCCAACGCGATAGCTACGCATCCTATGTTGGCCATTATCCAATGCTTGCTTACTTTGCTCTTGCCGAGAATGAGTCCATTGGAAGAGAACGCTACAACTTTATGCAGGTTCTCTCTTGCTTTGCTGCTTTTATGACTTTGAGGACATAAATTGGGTGTTTCTCTGTACTTATTTTTACCTACAGTTAGTCTGGTTATGTTTTATCGGATTGTTACTTCTTCCTAGTATTAATGTCCCATGTCTGGTTTGCCTCTGTAATCTGTATGCATGTGACATTGTCATTGTTGTGTACTTTCATGTATGTGCTTATCGAGTGAGGATTTTTATTCGAGGGTTGTCCTTCACTGATTTCATGGCAGAAATGATCGCAACCTTTTATTGAATCATGTGTTATCTGTGAGATCATGATATAGAACTCTTGAAGGAGTCAGTGCTAATAGTTCTTTGGAATGAGCACTTAATCAACTAGTTTGGCTAACTAGAGCGAAACATATAGTATTAATTATATGTTAAACTTTCTCATCAAATTTGTATTGAACTTCTAGAAAATCAAATTACGTCAAAAATTGGTGCCGGATACGCCTTCTAAGGCTCACGGTATGTATAATGTATGCCTGAGTTAATGAATTGGACCTTGTTAGTTTGTGCTAACGAGAAGCCAAGTTGATCCCACTCAACTATTTGGTTTATGTGGCACTTGCGTGTGCATGTTTTGTTGTAAATTTTCGAACCGTTATACTTGTCTTTATGATTTTTGAATTGATTTTTTTTCTTTGTTGTGCAGAAAATGCTTTTGCCATGCGGTCCTCCTCCGGAAAGAGAAGACGATTGATTCTATATTGTCATAAGAACTTACCGCTTTATAATGTTTATCGAGAAAGACTTATATGGAATGGGTGCAACGCCACTGTGTTGTCCCATTCCAATGAAACGGTGGCATGCATAAGGTTTTCAACACGACAATGTATTATTGGATCGGAATCCCACGTGACAGCAAACCCGTTGTATACCATTTGTTGAAAAAAGAGATCATATATGACTTTGTATGTACTTGATCTTTTCAATTCATGAATCTAATGCCTTCTTGTGGCCCTTATACCTATCCATATTCGTTCATGTTAATTTTTTGTCATTGCCACAATTCATTCATCTGATTCACTAAAGCTGTTTATGAAGCTAAAAAAACGGTTCGAGTTGGGTGAAAATTGGGGCAAAATAACCCCGAGTACTAGTTACATTTGTACGCCAATCAGGCAAAGTTTATTGGAACAAATCGGGTTCGAACTGATTTCAACAAATAGAAAAATTCAAGTTAATAAAACTGCGAAAGAAACATGCTGGTTCTAGGCGTTCGGATGATCCGGGAGGCGTTTCAGGTCCATTTCAACTTGGTGGATCGTCCAATTCATGTTTTCCAGTTTCTGCACGGCAATGATGTTCTCAGAGATTTTATCAGAGGAACCAGATAGTACAGCTCAGAGCAATGCTATTTTTGACCTTTACAATATCACGGTACTGCCTTGCAATTTGATCGAAGTGAGGATCGACACCCTGATACTCATGAAGGCGCGTAACCTGGTAAAAAAACGATGAAACATCAGTTCATGATCAAGAACCATGTCGGAGGATGATACAAAAGAGAAACAGATGAGAATTAGAAGAACAGACCGCTTTATTATATGTAACCGAAGCTTCTTCCGTAGCATCAGTAAGATGCTTCCTGTAATGAACAAAATGATTCAAAGAAACTTGAACTAGTAAGCCGCACATACTTTCTACAATGTAATCGACAAGTACCTAATTTTACGTAGGGCTGGTACAGATTCCTTAGTATACGTTTGACCAACGATAGCATACTCCAGCTTCCTGAAATATGATCGGGTATATTATACTCATCATGTAGATCGACTAATATATTCAGTCAGCAGTCACTACTTTCGTTTCTCTGTTTGAAAACAATAAACAGAAAACCACGAACCTCAGTTTTGCGCTCATGGTCACACACCTTTTGCACAGCCATGTTTTTTGTAGTTCATCCTATAAAGCGTTGTTTACAATAAACGTTGCAGAATGCTCAGCACAAGAAAAGCAGAATCGTATGTACAGGATACTTACAAAAATGTTAAGTGCATATTCGGAAATCTAATTGCTGAAATCACATTAACCATCACAAACGTTAGAAGCTTACATAATTGTGTTGATGGTGCAACTTCAAATCTTTGATTAACTTGACGAGAACTCCCAGTATCTGCTCTAAGACCTAGTGCGCGTAAAAACACTTTGTCACAAAACCTCACAGACAAAATTAGCCAGTATAGATTTCAGGAACGAAAACATATATATTTTATTTTCATACGTTATAGTATTCAGAAAATTTTCTATCTGCAGAATATAGATCTTCCTGCAAAGCCTCTTCCTCCCTTTCTATCTCCTCAGTTATCAACTTTACCCTGATACAATCATGAGAAAAGTGGAATTAATATTAGATCACAGCATCACATAATCATTTAGAACAGTAGTTCCAGAAATTTATATAAGCACCAAAAAGCAGTGGTTTATGGGTGCACTACACTTGAGAGGGGTGCAGAAAATAATTGAAAATTCTAATCACTTGCAATAATTAGAGTTAGCGGTGTCAAAAATGAGGCTGTCAATGATCTTAAGAAATGGACAATCCTTCATGTTTGATGACAACTAGTCACTGTTATCTACCAGATTACATGTCAAATAAAACTGCCAAACATCGGTAGCAAGAATCTTGCTCCATGTGAAAGGGGATGTATCAAGATAAAACCTACTTAAGGAGAGTAATCCAAACCTTTCTGGAAGCTGAGAACTTGAAGTTTCATGCAGGGGTGATGAATCTGCAGCAACCAAGCAGTGGAATGAATTCTGTGTATAACCATTGTGTACTATATATGAATTGCATAATGGTTATAGCATTTGTCATAATTACGGGCTAAGTATATCAGTATGCATTATCCACTTCAAAAAAAATTGTTCAGGGCTCGTTTACTGACTAGGATTGGATTGGAGTGGATAACTCATAAAAATTCACGGTATGTTGGAGGTAGAGCTGAATGATTTTTCATTTTGAGGGGATTAGACATAAGGGGAACTTATCCCTTCCAATCCTGACAAATGGTAAAATTAGAGTGGATAAGTTTCCTTCATGTCTATTCTCGCTTCTAATGCCCTCCAAAATAAAAGAAATCATTTACCTCCACCTTCAACGTACCTTGGATTTTATGAGTTATCCTCTCCAATGCAATCCTAGTTACCAAATGAACCTTAGTGTATTATATTTTCAAGATATTCGTAAGCTTGATCAGCCCATGGACCCCTATCATATGATCAAATATTGCATTAGTAAGATTCAATGTGGGTATCCTTTCCCATAATGAATAAGGTGGAAATGAAAATGACTTGGAACTTGGAACAGCAGATTGACAAAATTACATTTGAGAGAGAGAGAGAGAGAGAGAGAGAGGAGAGAGAGACCAATGTTATCAATTACTAATGCATCAGCTAACTTGTCACATTTTTCTTCCAACCGAGCCTCAATCTCACGGGAAAGACACAACTGGTATTCTTTCATATCCTGTAGTTGAGACATCACAGATGAATCTCAATGATTCCATTAATAAGGGGCAGATCTACCAAGGTTATTTCTTCATATTAACGAATTATATATAGCAAAATTAACAGATTCAACAAGAAAAATGTTAAGTTGCAGCCATAGAAAGAAAAGCGTAGATATAAATGAATAATGAAAAAAGAACGACAACTGTTTGCATGCTAGAACCATGGTGACCATACCACACAAAAGGGAGATTGCTGGAGCTGTGTTTGCCATAAATAAGCAGGTGTAATTCCAAGAAAGCGATTGGGTACACCACCAAGTCCAGGTTCCACAATATCAGTAGCACTAAAAGAAAGACTGTTGCTTGCAGTATAATTTGTGGAGTTGGAACTTGAGCTGATTGTAACACCGGTACAAGTACTATCAAGGGAACTCCGTGACATTATACTGCATTTTTCAATCTCTTCCTCATGAACCTCACCATCTTTTGAGACAAGAGGAAGCCTAGACCTTTGGGCCGCTTCTGCAATGGTCATACGATGCTCTAATGTCTCGTACAGCTGACACCTCATGAAGATCCCACACTCATCAGTTTCAGACAACTTAAATGGCTCATATGCAGAATAAATACTAAGGGCACACTAGATTTGAGTATCATCGTCGTATGTTCTGTTCAGATAATGGATAAATAAAAGAACAAACACCTTCCACAGAATACTAATTCTCAACTGGTAACATTGCATAGTTACTTAAATATTGCCTATCGTTCCCATTTTAAATTAACCACGCTTTTGTATTCTACCAGTTTCTCCTTCAAACGGAACAAGTAGAAAAGAAACATACAACTCCTAAGTCCTATGCAAGGTGTCAAATTGGGAACCATATTATTCACCCTTTGATTCTGTTTGCACCTAAAATGTGCCTATTCCGGCTAAATATGGCATTTGGAGGATGATTGTGCAAAAAGACTAACTTGGAAAGATATTTGGCTGCAAGTGAGGTAGTTTGACGTTATAATATTGTTTTTCCCTTTTGTTTGGGTGGTGGAGGTTTGCCAAGAGCTTTGTTTAATCAAAAGAATTGCATGCTTTCTCATTGCAAATGGATTGGAAGGCCAAATACGGACATGAAAGTGGGCATCCGGTGAAAGAAGCCAACTTGCTTCTTTTAATTATTAGTTTATTGCAAGTGGTGGAGACATGTGGTGGAAGTACAAGTTGCCCTTTTTAATATCATTTCACATGCAAGCTGGCAGTGAAGTTTCTTTTGGGCGAGTTCATTGTTCTTAGCAAAGGGCTCTCTCACATCTCTATAAAACCTTGATTTGAGCCACTCCCACTCAATGACATAATTTCTTGGTTAGAAGTTGAACTCAGGCGCAACCTCAACCATTCAGATCCCGTTTACTAGCGGCATCTAGTAGTGGTACGCACGCACCCGCCAGTTCCCTTGTTCGAGTAAATTCCCGGCATGCCCGCCATGCCCATGGCGAATTTAGGGGGTGAACAGATTCTACACACCAAACACTGTAGTGTGGAGTCTCCAACAAGTTAACCGTACGCTTAAGATATCGATGATTCACTTTGAGTGTCTATCATATTTGAAAAAAAAAAAAAAAAAAAAAAAACCTTAACAGATAAAGTTAATTCAGTGTGTGAAATACAGAACCTCAGCCTCAGAAGAATGCTTCAATCCCTGTTGATACTCCTCCACCATTGCAATTGCCTCACCATAAATTGCCTACATCAGAGCTCTTAAATTTAAATTCACTGTCAAATTAGAATAACCAGTTGAATTTCGACAATTCGAAAAGAAAACAAACCCCGAAATAAGCAGAATTCAATTACCATGGCTTCCAAGTAACGGACTCTTTCCCTGCACATTTCCTCCCTGGCCTGTAAAATTCGACATTTTCTCAGAATCCAAAAAGGGCAGGGAAATTTAGAGAGAGAGCGAGAGAGAGAGTACGAGTTGGAGGTCGTAATATGCGGATTTGGAGCCGAGGGAACCATCGGGAGCCAAGCAGTGGCGTTCCAGCTGATCGACAACATGGGCCACATCCGGTGGCAGGTTTTGTCCCTGTAGTTGTTGCAGGCCCTTCGCCATTTCTCCTCTCTCGATCACCAAAATGCCGTCGTCTTCCTCCTTCTTCCTTCCTAACGATAAAGATGCCGCATTTGCCACTCTCACGCAGGAATTCAAATCAGTTACCACCACGGATTCAGCGTGGTTTGCCGTACCCTGTTCGGTTTGGTTTTGACCAAGAAAATGTCAAAGATTTTAAAAGCAACTATAACCATATCAAACCAGACCTAACCAAACCGACATATATCATTTAATTATAAATTTATTTATTTTACACGTGTGGAGCCATGATTTTCAGCGGCAAAATAAAACTGATCAGAATATGCGTACTTTAGAAGTTTGGTAATGGATTCATTAACTTCCATTGCAGTGGTTGAAGATTGGTCATGTTTGTTCTGCAAGATACGAAAACCTAATTCAGCAAAGAATCATCATGTTTTCTATAATCTTGGAGTCCTAACTATCAAAATATTGGTGTGCGCCACAAGTAATCATACTTTTAAGAAAAAGCAATATCTATTTCCAATATATTCTTTGGGATTCTCCCGATTTAATAAGAATTCTACTATTCTAAAATGTCTCTGCTCGACTGGAGTAAATACATCATTCTAGCTTCATCTCTAGTAATACAATTCTTGCATACGTATTTTCTTGGATATTGCCTGAGTCTTATATAGTTAACTAACTTGATAGTTAGAGTCTTTGACCAGTACACTCCCAGTCTTGGGATTACTCACGGTTATTTATTCTTTTATAGGTACTTAGATTTGTGCATCTCCACCTCTTGCGACTACACGAATTTGGTTTCAACGACACATATGTTAATATAGTATAGGTTATTTGAAGGGAATTGTAATTAACACTTCAAAAATCTCATTCTACACTACAAACTTTCTATATTAGGAAAGAAAAATACACTTGTGAGAAGTGCATAATGAGATTTTTGGAGTGCTAATAACACTTCTCTATTTGAATGTCTAACTATATGGGCTTATTAAAAATTAAAGCGGTTCCATTGCATGTCCAAAACCGAAGCCCAAACAGTTTCTCTCTCAACTTCGTCTTCTGAAACTTCTTCGTCTGCTTCCGTGCATTAGTCCAGACGAGGATCTCACAGATCAAGTCCCTCTGCTCCTCCGTTCAGTCCGTACAGGTAAGCCTCTCCCTCACCCCATTACATAGATACATATGTATACTTATGTCTAGATGTTGTTTCAAATCGGAATTTTGGTGCATCGGACGAGAGTTTTGATTTGTATAAGGTGTTCGGTATGCGGCAAATCAGTCGGGTTATTCAATTTTTGGGTGATTTTAATCTGAGATTCGGTCTGATTCGTTACTGATTTTAAGTGAAAATTGGATTTGATGATGTGATCAGTTGTTAATGTGATTAAGCAAGTAGTATCCATATGATATGCTTAAGTAGATCTAGTTCAGCTAATTATCCAAGTAATTTGTACTTTCATTCTCCAATTCCGTAGATTACGATGAGATGTCAGAAAATTCCGTGTTTAAATCTGCTTGTGGTAGGACTTGATTATGTTCATGTATGATTAACTTGTAATTGTAATTTAGTGGGAATATTAGTGTTGCATTGATGGCAATTGATGATTGTTCATTTTTCATGACATTAAGGATTACTCAATTTGCCAAATTACAAATATTTTTGAACTTGAAACTTAAAATGAAGAAAAAGGTGCAGGTGGGTTTTACTTAAAACTCATTTGGATATTTGGAAATCGAATTTCATTTCACGCTAATCAAAATGAAGTGGAGCTAAGGCCGACCAAACCGTTTTCAGTAACTCTTGCTGAATGTTCTGTTTTCAGTTGATTTGTTTAGTGGATCTTTCAGTAGAATTGAATTGGTTGCTTCTATATACATGTATTCTCATGTTTAGCTGCAGTCTATGATGCAGGACACGGTGGTATCCTTCGATCCCCGTGTCGTATCGTATTCACTTGTGGTCATACAACAATTCTTCTTGTTAATTTGACGTATACTCGTCTCCATGTCCATGCATCGTAGGCTGCAGTTAGGGATATGGTTTTTCTAATGGAAGTTTCTTTTTCGGATGCTCATAGGATAGACTAGTTTCGTTCACAATGCCTTCGGCTCAAGATCCATTCTATGTTGTGAAAGAGGAGATTCAAGAATCTGTAAGTTGTCAAATCACTTCAATCATTTGGAAGCTTCTGGAATGGTGTATAGTTTATATAATTCGTTTGATACATGTTTTCAGCTCAATGTGCCCCTTTAGTTGGCTCTTTTACTTTCTTTGGAGTATTACCTTTCTGCTTTTGACTCACTCTCTCTTTCTCTCTCTTTCTCTCACACACGCGCACACACAAACCCGGATGAATTTGGTACTCATTATATGTGCGGAATTTGTTTTCATGGCATTATGCTTGGGAGTAGAAATTAATCCAGCCTGTGACATTTCCTGCTTGAATAGATTGATAAGTTACAGTCTTCTTTTCACCAATGGGAGCGTATTTCATCTGATAATGGAGAGCAAGTACGTCTCACAAAGGAGCTGCTTGCTTCTTGTGGAAGCATTGAATGGCAGGTGCGCCAATATTACCACATTTGATTTAATTTTATCTGTGTGTCTTTATTATAAAGATTAGATTGTAGGTGTTTGTCATGGTATAATTATTAGAAAGTTGTGACACAGGAGTTGGGATTGTGACCACATGAATGTCTGAATGAACCAATAGAAATAGCTGGTAACACTATAGTTTTAGTGGTATTTTTTGAATTTCCATAAACATGTCAATAACAACTGAAATGTTGCAACTGAGTTTCAGTGTGCTAAAAATTTATTCTCAATGTGGGTGGCCTGTTGTAGATTGGTGATGACAATAGTTTATTTTTTTGTAATGGCCATAGGTCATGGTTTTGATTTACATTCTCGCTAAAAAAAACTGGTTATTTTGTGCTATAGAAGATGGGAAGTTGATGTGGGTGTCAAGAGGATCATTTGCTTTTTAATGGGCTGGTGCTCTTGAAACTATGATCAGTTAAACAAAAGAAAGGATGATTTACTGCTTTGAAATAGGCTGGCTTACGACCATCTAATATGGGTTTGTCAGCAAGATAGCTTCTCAAAATCATTAAAGAAATGGAGTAGTTTTCAATTTCCATAGCTCAAAGGAAAATATCTGTTATTGTAGAAAATTGCCCTTGACCACCTCAGACCTGTATGTCATTGGGATTTTATGGTATTGAGCCCAAGAATTGATCATATTTTATTTTGTTAACAAGGCTGCAAATACTCATTTAAAAAGAAAAAATGGAAAAGATAGAAGATGAGGATATATTAGCAACTAATGGTTATTTTACCGTATCCATCCATTAATCAAATATGTTAAAATAAAAATCATTTCCATGGTTGGTGCACAAAGGGACGAAACATCCAATGCATTCTTTATGTTTGTATGTGCTAAATATTGAGGACTAAATGACTTCAGATAGTTTATACATTGTAGTAGAAGCATTAGGTTCATACTGGTTAGTTGTGCGTGCTAAATTAACTTTACATGTCATATACTTGATGCATCAAAGATCGGTTTAGCAAATCTTCAAGTTTCCTTTAAATTTTCATGTTTTTAAGAAAAATATTTTATTCTGTCAATTTTTATTGATCTCTATGCATTCGTTAAAAACTCTGTAAACCAATAATAGTTTTGCAGACCAATACTTTATCCTTGTCAGAGAGAAGGTGACTTGGGGCTTACAATTAAATAATTTTCTTGTTTTGTATTTTCATTCCTTTCTTTTATCACCTAACCCGAAACTTTGAGAATAATTTGAAATTCAACTTCTGTTTGCAACTACTAAAAGGATGCTTTCTTGATAGGAAGGTAGATGAGTTGGACAAAGCGATTTCCGTAGCAGCTAGAGATCCTACATGGTATGGCATTGATGAAGTAGAACTTGAAAAACGAAGGAGATGGACAAGCACTGCTCGTGCTCAGGTATAAATGTATAATCTGTTAAGCTGTACTCTTTTAGAACATTTTAGTGACAGTGAAGATCTCATATCTGTAATCCTTGTCACCCGTGGTGTTGTCATAAGTTCATAACAAACCTTGTCTTTATGATTTACAATGATTACCTACATCTTTTACATGACGGCAGTCTGAGTGTGCGGTTTTGTAACAGAAATGTAGTTTCAGTTTTTCTTTGTTTTTTGGATATTTTGTTGCATAATGATCCTTTATTTGGTATTTTCTGCTATGTATTTATACAGCATATTACATGGTTGCTTTTTGCCTTTGGATGACTGTATAGCAGCTCCTCAATTAATCAAATAGTTTATCAGGTGGGCTCTTTAAAGAAAGCAGTCGAAGCTGGAAAGGAGTCTTCTGGAACTAGTGTGAATGGGATGCGTCAAGAACTAATGAGGGTGGCGAATTCCCAGGAGACAGAAAGGTCCAACCCGTATGGTGCGCACCATAACGACGACTTCATAACCTCAGAATCAGATAGACAATTGCTTCTCATAAAGTAAGATTTTTACTTCTATTTATTGTTTTTTGCAAACTCACAAACACAACCCGCATCCAATTGACACTTATGTGGAAAACATACGTGGTATCATTCTATTCTTAGGGAAGTCTCAGTTAAAATTCAATGTTTGGCAGGTGCTTCTTCATTCTTTATATAAGCTGGAATGAATTGTCTTATTGAATCGAATAACTGAAATTATGGAACACTTATATTCTAAAAGGAAAGAATAAAGATTCTCTCTGGGTCAAACCATCCGAGCTTGTAATTTGATTGTAAACCTTTTTTGTTGTTATTATACGGAGTTCTATGCACCTATTATGAAATGTTGCTAAGTGAAATCCGAATTCCCCCTGTTCCTTTTTCTCCCTTTCACTGGGTTGTGAAAAATGCTTACATCTACGGGCTTAATTTTTTTCTTTCCCGAATCCTTTGGCCAGTTTTCTGTATAACTCTTTCTTTTGATCTTATGTCTATCAATTGATGCTTGTAGGCAACAGGATGAGGAGTTGGACGAACTTAGTGCAAGTGTGGAGAGAATTGGCGGTGTTGGACTTACTATTCATGAAGAGCTCCTCGCACAGGTAAGAATTTTGTATGTCACTGTCCTTCCTGGTATTGTGACTACCGCATATGAACTTAGGATAGTCTGATGGAAAGGGGGCAAGGGAAAACAGATGAGCATTTTGATTCATTTTTCTTGAACCTGTATCTATTATTTACAAATGAACTCTTTCTGCCCCACCCCCCGGTGAACTTCTGGGTTATTCTTGCTTCGTTCATTTGCTAAATTGGAAGCCTGTTGGTGCTTCAGGAGAAGATTATAGAAGAATTGGGCACGGAAATGGATGGTACATCAAATCGTCTTGATTTTGTTCAGGTGAGTTTGTGTTTCCTTGATAGATTGTCCTGCCAAAGAGATTCTGTCCGCTGGAATGAGTTTAGCTTTTTCTTCAGCTTGCTAATTGACTGCAATATATAATTAATGATCCCACATGAGATGAAAAGATTTTTCGTTTTTCTGATTTTTGCAGAAGAAGGTGGCTGCAGTGATGAAGAAGGCTGGTGTGAAAGGCCAGTTGATGATGATACTATTTTTGCTGGTTCTGTTCATCATCCTTTTTGTATTGGTCTTCCTCACCTAGTCTGAAGAATGGAACGCGTCTTCCGTCATCGACCATGGCAGGAGGGATCTGCGTTCCAGATACAACTGTAGAACTCTCAAGTACAGATTATTTTTACTGGATGTATCTAGGTTTCTTCGTAAAAGCTTTTCCCCGGAAATTCTGAACCGGAAGAGTCTGCAATCTTTTAAGGTTGTTTAGAAGTTTTGAGGCTGATCAGAATTTGATGTTCAACAACCTGGAGTGTGAAACACAGGAGCTTTATGTTCGTCACATTTGTTTCTTACATGGGACTTGTTTTATGTCAAAACTCGTCTCGTTCTCGTGTGCTTGTGTTTCATCACAAAATTTTCTCTGTTTTGTCCATATCTCATGTAACCAATTCACCACATGACAAGCGTCTGACAAAAAATTATTGGTTTTCAGACGTGCTTCTGAAAGCACCCTAAACTTGAAAAAAAAAATTAAATTAACAGTGCTAATGACTAATTGACATTTCTGGCCTTTATTCTGTTACTAACACATAAATATTCATTCATTCTGTTAATATGGTATCCAACAAAAAAGAAAAAACCAAAGTTGAACTGAGACAAGTTCATAGGCGAGAGAGGCTGCAGATCCAAAAGCTCAAAAGCTTGCTATTTAATCATGTTTCGAATGACGTATGGAAGAATGCCGCCGTGGTCAAAATATGCTAACTCAACCTGCACAACCAGAGACATCAAACCTCAAACGCCGCTCAAACGACGATCAACTGAACCTTAAGGTCGGCCCTCTACAATTGTTCTAAAGCCGATGGCACGGATACATGACTCTCAGTGGGATTATACATGAACCGGATTCACAGAAGCATGTGAAGTACCTTTGTGTCGAAGCAGGAGTGTGCAGTGTAAACGATTTTGCATTGTCAGTTGTGACCTTAACATCCTGGCCAGGCTTTATCTCACTAATGTCACGAGGAAGCTCTATTGTGCAGCGCTTGTGACCGGTTAGACCAAGCGTGTCTGCATCCTCACCTGGCTTGAAAGAGAGCGGAATGATTCCCATCCCTACCAGATTACTACGATGAATTCTTTCAAAGCTTTTCGCAATGACTGCTTTCACTCCCTAATGCACAAGCTGTCCTTGTAAGGAATACAGCATTCAGAGGGAGGAGGGAGGAGGGAGGGAAGAGAAACTCACCTGTAGCATTGGACCCTTGGCAGCCCAATCTCGAGCGCTGCCGCTTCCATAATCTGCTCCAGCCGACACAATGGTGCTCTGCTCAGCAGCCTTGTACTTCTGCATATGAATGCCGACCTGAGTCTTCGGCAATAAGAAAAGATAAAAATAAAAAGATGTAGAGAATTCAAAACATCATGGAGCTCACCATTGCTGCGTCGTAAACATGAAGTTTCTCCCCTGTTGGAATGTGGATTGTCTTTGGACCGACTTCACCATCAAAAGTTTGTTCACAATGCGGATGTTGGCAAACGTTCCTCGTGTCATTACCTCATCATTGCCTCGGCAACTCCCGTAGGAATTGAAATCTTTGCGTCCCACCCCAACCTTAAGGAGATACTTTGCAGTAGGGCTGTCCTTGTGGATGTTCCCACATGTAGAAATATGGTCCGTGATTATACTGTCACCGAGGTTTAGCAAACAATAGGCATCCCTTACGCCATGAGGACCTGGCGGGGCCTTGCTCATGTCCTTGAAGTATGGGGGCTCATGAATGTATGTCGAGTTCACATCCCAAGGAAAAAGAGTCGAAGAAGGAACGGAGAGCTGGTTCCACAAAGGATTGCCCTTCGTAATGCCCTCATACATGCTCTTGAACATGTCAGGTAAGACACTAGATTGAACGAGCTACAAATGCGCATACGTCAACATTTCAACCGGATCAAATCATTAGACAAATTGTTCAAAACTTTGTATCGGTGATACAAAATCGAAGTGTAAACGTTCCACCTGTGCAATTTCTTCATTACTAGGCCATATATCCTTGAAGTATACACTCTTCCCATCCTTCCCTATTCCAACTGGCTCTGTATCAAAATCAATGTCAACCTGGAGGGATTAGAAAGAATTTAGAGTTAATTAAGAACCTCTACCACAAACTAACAAGAACAGGACATTAATTTTACTTTTTCTCCCGAGATGTGGGGTAGCGGGGAGCGTATACAGCTGTTTGCCCGAAGAGAATGATGTACTCAACAAACATAATATATAAAGCTGTTTCCATATTAGTATATACCCAAAAAAGGCTCTTCACATACCGTGCCAGCAAGCGCATAGGCAACAACCAAAGGAGGGGAAGCAAGATAATTAGTTCTTGTCAGCCGGTGACTACGGCCTTGGAAATTTCTGTTTCCAGATAGAACAGCTACAGCAACAATGTCTGCAGAAGGCAACCATGCAGTGAAAATCAGGGGAAAAAAATGAAAACAGGACTCTAAAAGGTGATATCAAGGGCCTCAAAGTTCTCTGAAACCTGAGAAATCAAATCCCATCCTCGACAAAATCACGGACAGAAACAAAAGATCAAAAGTAGTACATCAATACAATTTATTGGAGGAAAACATGGGGTTGAAAATCTGCTTAGATCATAAAATATTTTGTCAAAACATTATCTTATATGCCAACATATAATTAAAATTCACTAGCTCCTTGCAGATTACTTGCAGTAATAGTCACTGAATAAGTGAAACTTTAAGCGTAAGTTAAGATTCTTAATACCATTCTCGGAAGAAATTGCTGAAGCAACAGATTAATCAAGTTCTCCAGAATTCCCAATACATGTGGTGCAGCCGTAGCCAACAACATTGAAACCCAGCTGGTTCAAGTACTTCAGCAGGCCACTGCAAGCAGACACAACGTTTAGGCTTTCATACACTATTAGGTAACCAAACGATCGACCATTTCATGGCATACCTCTGAAGCAGATATTCTGTCACAACCCTAGAACCAGGAGCAAGACTTGTTTTAATCCATGGCTGTACCTGGTATAAAATCGCATCATCGTATTACTGTGTTAGAAATCCATATGTATAATGCACCACAGCCTTAATACTTAAGGGCGAAAGTAAGATAAAATTACTCGTCCTGCATCAAGATTTTGTAATTCTACCATTGGCATCAAATGAAACGACATATCAAAGTCAAAACCAATCTCCAAACCTAGTTCACTAGCTTTCTTTGCTACAAGTCCAACTCCAACCATGACAGTGGGATTGGATGTGATTGTGCAACTTGTAATTGCTGCAATGACGACGCTACCATGCCTGAGCTCAGCAGGTTGTCCGTGGAATGAAAACTTTTCGACTTTACCTTGTTCTTCCTTTGGTACAGCAAACCCCTGCAATGGACAGCAAGAACACAAACAACAGCGTGGATCACTAAACAGCCAAGCTAAGCTATATATTTAGAACCTAAGGTAGTAAAGTTTAGATTCAAGGACCAGAACTACGAACTTGAAACTAATTAGCTATATTAAAGTGGATAGACTGAACTACAAGGCCAAATTTTGTACGAACCAACTGTTTGATTGGGTATATATAAACCACAATGATCAAATAATCAGCCTACTTGAAGATAGAAAGAGAATCTGACTCGAAACCCAAAAAAGTCACAGTATGTTACATGATACGTTGCCAGGACTCACCTTGAATCCAACTTTTTTTATCTAAACCTGCATGCCAGTCTGCCTTCACATCTTTCAAAGGTACTCGGTCATGAGGTCTATATATAAGTGGAATGGATTAAAATTACAGAATACAAAGTCTCATTTCATGGAACACATATGTGGAATGCAACAGATACCGCTTTGGTCCGGAAACACAGGGTTCAACATCTGCAAGGTCCAACTGCAGATAGGATGTGTATGCCCTTTCTTGTCGAGGCTGGCTACAAATCCCCTAGAAGTTAGATCCAAGCAGCCATCTCAAATCGGATTCATGGTGACAAAACTGACAGGAAACAGAAACTTTACCTCATTGTAGTCTACAAACATTTTGTTTGCGCGCAATCTAATACATAAGAGTACCATTGCCGAGGGTCACATTATATCATACTAGTTCAATACAAAAACAAACTATTTCCATCACTTTTGCACTAAAAAACGAATGAAAATAAATATACAAAAATAATAAACATAAGAAACATGAAGGAGCTTCACCGTCTTATTACTTCTCCCGGTTAATTCAAGATACTGCAATGTAACATTACCTACTGGGAAGAAGCCCATGGTTGCTCCATATTCAGGAGACATGTTTGCAACAGTGGCCCTATCAGCAGGTGATAACTCACCCATCCCTTCACCTACATGCATATGCAAATGAGTTACTGTGTATGTCGATGTATGGAAACTAAAACTATAACCTTCAGCTTAATGATTACTGGACTTACCGTAGAACTCAACAAACTTGCCAACAACACCATTGTTTCTTCAACATTTGTGTGACAGTTAAAACCAAATCTGTAGCAGTAACACCGTCACGCAGTTTCCCAGTAAGCTTGAACCCAACAACACCAGGCAACAACATGCATATGGGCTAGAAAATATGAAATTTCAGTGTGAAAGACATAGCCAGGAGAGTAATTTAACTTTCACATTAAACATTCTAACCAAAAAGTGAAGGTGAATGCATTTATAAGAATACGAGACTTAACGCTGTTCGGTTCTAGATACACTACCCTTTAGATAGATGTGTTAAATTAGACACTTATCTATGACAACACACCTGCGATGGAAAGACAAAGCATAATTAGGACACTTTACCTGACCAAGCATGGCTGCCTCAGCTTCAATCCCACCGACAACCCAGCCCGCAACTCCTAATCCATCAATCATGGTTGTGTGGGAATCAGTACCAAACACACTGTCAGGGTATAGAATTCCATTGGTGTTAAAAACAACCCTTCCAAGGAATTCCAAATTAACCTGCAAAATCATAATAAAGTGAAAATTGGCATGTTATACCTCCCATAAGTGCATTTTGCCAGAAATTTACACTCAGCAACTAGAAAGCCCTAATAATCGCACCTCAACAACTAACCTAAGAGGTTAAAAATTAATAACATCAGCTAGTGGGTAGCCAAATGACCAATTATTCATGCCATACAACCAATTTCTTTACCTGATGGACAATTCCACAACCGGGAGGTACAACGAGCATGTTATGAAAAGCAGATGCTCCCCATTTGAGGAAAGCAAATCTCTCTTTATTCCTCTCAAATTCAAGTTCCATATTTTCCCTTAGTGCATTTTCAGTTCTTGCTACATCAACCTGGACTGAATGATCAACGACAAGATCTACCGGAACCTGATGAAGATGTTATGTCAAATCCCATGAAGCTAACCACTAAATAATTTCAAAATCACAAATTGTAACCTCAAAAGACAACCGAAAAAAGTAATGTAGTACACTGCATTTCCTTTCACGATTATAGCTATCTATCGATATTGAACTACTCAAGAAGTTTGTGATGTGCATGGTTGAGAGAAATTACAAACCAGTGGATTTATCTTGTTAGGATCCTTTCCAAGCTGCTTCAAGGCATCCCGGATACATGCAATGTGTACTCCAGTAAAGTCCTGGGCAACAAACATAATGCCTTATATGGAGGTAGAAGACATTTAAAAATTATAATTTTTTTTTTCCTATAACTACCTCAGCCATTAACAAATTTTTTTTCCAATTACATATCGACACGTGACATTCGAAATCCAAGACGTAAAATTATTGAGATTCCTTATCGACAAGAAATTTGTAAAGTTACTCATATATTGACACGTGACACTTGAAATCCGAGACATAAAATTATTGAGATTCCATCTCGAAAAATTATTGACATTCCAGCTAAAAAAATTATTGAGGTAGTTTAATTTAAGTAACCATATTAATTCAATTAAAATAATAAATTATATTTGGCCTATGGCCCTTTGGCCCCCTCGGTTGGAGATGGCTTTTTGTCACAGGGTTATGTTTTTGGCCTCTCGGTTGGAGATGAAAAGAAATATGGTCCGACATTGTTCATTAAAATATTAATTTCTTTGAGGGCTATAAGGCTAAAAGGAGCCCTTTGGCCCTTCTTTAGTTGGAGATAGCCTTAGGGTTGCCAAGTAGGGAATTTGTGGTCATTTCGGGAGTTCTGATCTTTTGTTTTTGTGTTAGGTTGATTTTTGATGTTTTAGATGTTCCAAATGTGTACACTAGTTGAAAAGAACAAAGAGTCTTTCTCACACGAAGCTATTGACTCTTTTAACCTAATTGACGTAATAATCTTTTAACCCACTTGACGTAATAAAATGAGAAAGGAAAAGTGCATGAGGTAAATTAAGACGCAATAAAAGACATTTTCAATTTGTACTTTTGAATAACGTTTCGATTAAGTAGATGTAAGTTTAAATTTTACTAATAAACAACATTAGTAGTTTGCATAACATTAATTTTGTGACCAGATTTGTTATTTTAATATAGCCGGTCAGAACTAATTAGTGTTAGGCGGAGCATGTTATAGTCAAATGTTTCAAAGTGTTTCTATATACCGAGTGTTCATTTATATAACTGCAGGCACTTGGAATGATATGGCATACAACCTTAAATTTATTTCTCAGGACCTTGATCACACAACAAATGTACATAAATGTAACCAAAATTGCAAGTCATAGCGACCTCGATGTACATAAATGTAACAAAAATTTGGTGTACAACTCTGTATTCACTTGTCAAAAAATTAAAAATGAAGGATGTATTGTGCTTGTTCTTTCTTTTCTTTGGATCTCAGAGAGAAAGCAAAAATCAAATGCACTGCATTGTGCCACAAAAGAAGCTCCCTACAAGGCTACAACGATACGGAGCTTCGCCAATATTCTAACAACTCAGCTATACTCTGGCCCCGGCAGAACAAATCCGTGCATTATGCTTCGACACAAGGGTTAGTGTGGTCGGACCCTTAATTATGCATTACGGCATTATCAACTCGACTTCATGTTGGTGGCTGCCATGTCCCTGGCCTGAATGTTTGACCGGATCCTGTTGGCTCTGTAGACCTGGAAAAAAAAGTTCAACATGTAGTATCATCAATCCAGCACTCATTTTTAGGGAAAATGACATTCATTTTAATATATGTCGCTTTAAACTTGAAGATTTTGGGATTCTTTGTTTATAGATTTCAGAACAAGGGAATTCACAAATTCCAGTCATTATCATATTATTTATGATTTCAAGATGTAATTAGCGATGCTTGCGCAAACTTGCGGATGAGGAATATGGAACATACTCTGGAACTTCTTTTGCTTTCTTTGCCTCTTTCTCTTTGGAGTTCCTGTGACATATTAACACAACAATGTAAGCATAAAGACATGACATGGCCATAAAGAAATATGACATATGGGTGATAAAACAAACTTGAGCAGGATGGATAGCGGTGGTGGTGTTGTTACTCATGTTAGCAGACCTACCTCACTCCTTCTGTGGCAACAGATTCTTCCTGATTTACACCACCTTTGAGAAGAAACAAGGAAAACAAATTAATATGCCATATTCTACCTCGAAAATACAATAATTAAGGCAAAATTTTTAATGCTCCGCAGAATCAATTAGGAACGAGGACTCCACAATCTTAAAAGATAGCCTTTAAATAAAAGTCCTCTTTCTGCAAAACCTTTCTGTGAAAAAATCCATATAAACTGCCTAACTATATAAATTCTCATCCTAAACAACATGTATGTGAGATGGGTAGGATACAAAAGACAAGTTACCTTCAGAAGACCCAGGAAATTGCCGAATGAAACTTTTCAAATCTGAACCTCCGACTTTATCTATAAGCATAGCTCATAATAATGAATAATTGTATGAGCACAAGGGTACAGATATCATAAAGATTCCAGTAAGAAGCTGACCGGTGTTGATGATTTTGTGCGTACTGCATTCTCTTGCTTTCCTTTCCTCTTCTTCTTTCTTTAGAACTTTGAGAAATAAAAGGCATAAAAGTTAAATATATGTTTCTTAAAATCTCTGTATCAAACAGAAAACTGAAAGTAATGCAAATCCAACTTATAAGTATGTGACACCAATTTCCCACTGAAACTTTAAAGATGTCATGATAAGGAGACAAACTTGGTGCGGGAGTTGGAGGGAATTTTCAGAAAATTATCAACAATGGGATTCATTGAGTAAAATCCAGAAAGCACTTAAAATTGATTTCAATCAACTTATCAAAATTATACGGCGGATCCCAATTTGGATCTGCATAACCCTTTCAAAGATATGGAGAACAGTGCATTAAGAGTAATCTGTTGACTGAGATTAAAACAAAATAGTTACCAGCTAACTGGTTTAAAATTGACACATAAGAAATGAAAGTATGATAACTTCTTTTTTTCCACTGTTGCCAGCATTCAAGTATTTACCACTAAGAGGCCTATATTAAGGCTGGTGAGGCTAATCTTGCACTACTAGCCATTATCTTTGGATGTGTGGACGTCTCTCACTCTCATTCTCTATCTCTTCTCTTATCTCAGAAATTCATGACAAAGATTACCACCTTAATATGCAACTATTGCATCCCTCGATTCACTTATCGTACATTTTGATTAAAATTCCAACAGAAGATGATCTTGTAATAAAAGCTTCTTAGTAAACCTATAACTCAATGGTAGCAGAAGAAACCAGAAACTAATGGTAGAAATGACACATACGAGCAACATTCTGCCGGACACGTTCACGTCTTGCTTCCAATTCTGCCAGTTCCTGAAGTGTAGAAAAGATTATCAAACAGAAGAAACGAAACAACAATAACAAAATGTCTCTTAGACAAGAATTAGATAGAGGAAATGATATCAGGACCATCTAGGAAGATAAGATGGTGATTAAAAAGAAAATATTTCAGCTTTTTTACCAACAAAAATAAACAATAACATAAAAATATTCCACCTTTTCACCAACAAAATCCAAACAAATTTCTCTTCTTTATCACACCAAGGAATTAGAGTAACATGTGTCAAGATTACCTCCTGCGTTGGAGCCCTTTTCCGCTGCCCATTGAGCCAACATATCCACTCAACTAAAATGACCAAAGAGTAAACATAAAAAGGATAGAGGAAAAAATAAGGCCACAGCAACAATGCAGTCCAAATGACATTGTATATCAAAAGTGTATATATGGATAGGTAGCCATATTTCAACAGCCCAAAATAGAGTACCTTTTTGTTGATATGATAACTCAAAGAAAAATATTTCCGAAGCAGGTGAACCAAGGATTTGAAACTGAACAAAAGTTGTATTAGGTCCAAAGAAAGTACCTGGAATTGAGGTCGGATCGTCCTCGCCCTTGAATGCCACCCATCTTTCCTCTTTCACTAGTGTGTCAACGAGAATGGACAAAAAGAAAAAAGAGCATTAGGTGTACTAGTACAGCTTCATATTCTTCATGCTATACCACATTGTAATCGATTATCTCACCTTCAACAAACAACTCAATGCAAACTTTAGTATTTATTTTCATAGAGAAGAAACACTCAGCTCAACTAATGAGAACACATGCCTTAGAAACTAATGATTGGTTACCAGGAGATATTAGCTATGATGGCTTCCATTTCATGAATCAGACAGAATTAAGAATATTGTAGATTGAGTTGCATACTTGCAGTATCAATCCAAGCGGGAAAAGGCCTCTGCCAGCAACCAAAGTAATTGCACAAAAAATTAATTGACAACTGTTTCAATGAAAAACGACAATGCTCCAGGCGCAAACTGTAACACTGATCTTTTCGTCACTCTAACTTTGGCATACGGTGGAAATGAGGGAAAGGCTGCTATTAAATCTTTCCCTGGTCCAGCAAACTCACAACTCACAAGGGAAGGTGAACTCCACTTCTCTAACTACAGTTCCTAGAGTGAAAAAACCTTTATCTAATGTGTTTGTTTGAATCCAAAACAAAATATAGGAACAGTGCAATTACCAAATTAAGAAATGCAATCAGAAATCAAAACAGAGTTCGTTTCACACCTAAAAAAAGTCAATGCAATTCCTTTATCCCAGTGTAGCAAATTTTGAAGCACAATAATGACAGCCCAATTGGCAAATTCAAGAGATTCAATCACAAAAACTCAAACTGAACAAAACCCATGAGCCATAATGCAGCATAAACGAAAGCAAAAAACAGTAGTGAGGGAGGGAGAGAGAGACTTACTGATGCCATCGACCTCCTCTTTTCTGGCGAAGTAACGGTTGCCAGCTCTGTCCATTCCCACCATAGTCCGATTGGTAAAGAACCCAGCAACCTTCTGAAACAGCTTCGACATTTCTCTCCCCCCAATTCCAAATCATATTTCAAAAGGGATTCACTGAAACATTACCAGCATCGTGTTCGATGTCCAAGAATTGCAGTCCAATGTTTGGTTTGTGTTTCTACGGCAGTCGTCGTTTGCAGGAGAAAGTGCTACAGCATCATCCTGGAGTCAGTAATTAGTCCCTCCAAAGCCAGTACTCGTCAGCGGTCCATATAACACCGCATAGGCCTCCTTGTCGCGGTGGTTGCTCGTTGGTGTTTCGGGGTGCAGCTTGTACGGTTCAAAAATGTAAATTCATTTCTTTTACAGTCCTTGTAATTATTTGCAGTCCTATAATCTTAATGAGATTCACATTTTTACTCTTCTTATATTTTTAATTTATTTATTCGAGTAAATTTTAGCAATTGTCTATTAATTTTAACTTAATTTGAGTAATGACCTCTTAATTAAAAATTATTATTGGTCTCTCAACTCACCAAAACGTGCAGCTATGGTTCATCAACTACAAATTCATTATCATTAGTCCCTCAACTTTAATCTAACTGAAGAAATAATCCCTCAACTTTTACTCATTTGGAGCAATGGTCCCTCAAACATTAACCCAATTGTAGCAAAGGTTATTTTAACATAACTCATTTTGACAAAATTTTGATGAAGTTGACAAAAAAATCATAGCTCCACGTTTTGATTAGTTGAGAGACTCCAATTGTAGCAATGGTCCTTTCAACATAACTTATTTTGACAAAATTCTAACAAAGTTAACGAAAAGGACCATAACTACACATTTTGATAAGTTGAGGGACCATTGCTCTAATTTGATTAAAATTAAGGGACCATTGCTACAATTTACTTTATTTATTCTCATGTTTTTAACGAGATTTACATTTTTCCTCTACTTCACTTAAAAGTAAGAGATCTTAGGTACCGTTTGGTACGCATATGAGACGGAACGGAATGGGATGGGACGGGACAAAATGGAACGGAACGGAGATTCTGTGTTATGTTTGGTACGCGCAAGATGGAAAGGGATGATTGTTCGGTTCTGGGTTTGGTATGCATAGGACGGAACGGAACCGAAGGATTAAATGACTAGCTTACCCATGTTCCATCAGTTGTTTGGTATAATGTTTATGCGTGGGATAGGATAGGACTTTTTTTTTTTTTTTTTTTTTGAACTTGTTCATATTTGATCACATATATGTTTATTTATGACATATTTTTTACACTAGCACATGGTCGAAGATATGTTATGCCATGAATTCCGTCATTTTTATAACAATACCATGATTAGCCTTTGGAGGTTGCAGAAGAACCAAAACGAAAAATAATGGCACAGAATTTAGAGAGAGAAAGTGAATGACTAAAAATTGTATTCTTGAACAATGAATGAATTACAGAAAAAGAGAGGTGTTTGTTATTTATACAAGTATTCTTTGCTTCACTCATTAGCTACTAACCATCACAAATTTGCCAACCTCATTTTGTATCTTACCTATTTCATCGAACACTTTGTCTGCATTCAAAACCATCACAAACTTGCCAACCTCATACATGCTGACCCAACCATTTATCTCATTCAAATAAGCATCATTCATGACCACCTTGCCATTAGTATAACATGCAAAGAAACTATGGAAAAACCAATGCCACATGGCCTTCTGATTTTTAAACTTGTAAATCAAAGATCTCAATACCTCATGTCTACGTTTGGTGGTGTTTGTATTCGTTGATGGCTACTTGCAGAGGCAAAGAATCTGTAATTTGACGCTCTTGTGTTCTCCATAGCCCTTAATGTTGATGTTATCACTGGCGTCATGTAGTAACCATTGAAAAGGGCCTGAAGCTTTGGCTTCTTCATTACTGTGAGTTAAACCCAAACACTGCACACTTGTTAAAGCTGCTCAAAAATGGTTTGCTATTATTGGTGTAGGATGCCATTGAAGCATTCGAGTTCGACTGTGGCTTGACGGACAGAGCTACGATTTCTCGCAACAATGGTGATGACGAAACCAACGGCGGAACAAAATGGACTTTGACTAGCAATGGAATTCTTGGTTGTTTGCCATCTCCTTGAAATCTAGGATTCCAATACAAGAATCAGCATGCTAACTTGTAGGCATGAAAGTTAACAAATTCAGTTATCCGCACCAATATATAGATAACTAATAGATTAACATATATCACAAGTTTCACTGTTAGCTAGAAATGAGATTCTTCTATTATACGAAATGTGAGACAGCTGCAAGATTGTCATACCTAATTAATTAAAATCCAGAAAACTTTCAACTAAAATGCAAAACAATGAAAAAAAATGAGCACAAAAAAATTTGAATCATAAAACATTCATCGATTAAAGTCAAAAACTTAGATTCAACAAGCTATCAATCACATACCTAGGTCTGCAACACGACAGTAGTGGCTCCGTGCTACTGCGTGCTAGCTGGGTGTAGTCAGCATCTACGAGAGAGGATGAGGAGGAAGGCTACGAGAAGAGAGGCAGCGGCAGAGAATGATTAGGGTTTGTTTTATGATTTGGATGGTAAATATTAAAAAAGGTAAGGGGCATTTTTGTCCTAAAATGTTTTAATTTTGTGTTCCACAGATATAGAACGAGTAGTTCCAGGGGGTAAGGTGAAAGGAAAATTCAATCAAAACTCGTTCCGCTGTTTTTGACTCATCAAAAATGGAATGGAACGTCTCATCCCACTGCATTCTGTCCCGTCCCATATACCAAACGGTACCTTAGGTTCGATTGTTGTCAAAAACGAATTTGAATCACATTATTGCTAACTCATTGTAAGGACGAATCCACTCATCATTTAGTGTAGATAATATTGTTTGTTCGGAAAAAAGAAAAAAAAAAACTTCATTAGATAAAACTTCTCTTTTCCTACCTGTCCGATGTTTCAAACTCATTATCCTTTCCGATCTGGAAGAGGAAGTGTGCGTTGGTCTCGATGAGGGAGGTGGGAGTGGGTTGGACGATGGGTTGGGAAGGAGTCGGCATGGGACGATGATTGGAGATAGTGGGGGTGGTTGATAGAGGAGAAAGGTTAGAGGAGTGACCGGTGTGGTCGGCGTCGATGAATCAACCATAATGAAAAAGAAAGGTAGTGTTTGGCTATGCGTTTAAAGTAATAGCTGGTGTTTGGTTTGATAGCAAATATTGAGAAAAAAAAATTGAAAGACGTGTTAAAATACCAGTGGGCTGCATCAAAGGGTCAGCAAATTGGGTATTGATTGATCAGTAAAGTTTAAAAATTAAAAGATATAGAAGTTTTGTTCTTTTTTTTTTGTCAAAAAAAAAAGAACATAGAATTTAACGATTAGTTTATTACTTAAGATTTGATAAACATGTTTATTCCTATTGATGATACATCATTTACAAATTTTGTCTCTAAATTTAGTTTATCTAGCATTATCCTTTTCAACGACATTGAAGACTGGAAAACCCAGGCATGCAAGTGCATCTTGCAATGAGTAATGCTGGACTTATCACCTATTTATATTATTTGTAATATTGTTCTAATAAAGGTAGAGTCCGTCAATGAATGTCGGTCCCATTTCTATTAGAGATATAATACAATTAATGGAGAAATTTTTCAATGTGATGGGAACATGACTCAGTACACCAAGTGTCATAATACAAGTGGTTGGAAACTAAAAAAAAAAAAAAAAAAAAAAAAAAAAAAAAAAAAAACTTCAACCACTTGTATTATGACACTTGGTGTACTGGTCTGTTTTCTTGACACACTAAAAATCTCTCCAATTATAATACAAATAGGTGATGAGAGTAACATTTTTGTTGTACAAAACTATCCAAAAAAAAAAAAAACATATGCACATCTCCACCGGCAAATTGACTCCCGAGTCCACAAATCTCAGGAGTAAATTTCCACCAGCAAAGATCCGATTTTCAGAGGAAAAAAAAAAAAAAAGAGGTTTCAATTGTGATGCTTTCGTAAAGTTCAATTCAATCCAATAAGGCTTTTGCAGAGATTTGAATTTCTTCAATCTATGCAAAAGTAGAACCAGAACCCAATGGTTGTGGGACCTGGCTTCTCTGCCCTCCCAGTTCCCATGCACTCTCATTTCTTTCTATTTTGTGCGGTCATAATTAAGCCACGTCAACATTTTATATTGATTTTTTTTTATAGAAATAATAAGACTAAAAGCAATAGTGATATAAAATGTTGACGTAGTTTAACCGTGACCGCACAAATATGAAAGGATGAGAGTGTATGGGAACTGGGAGGGCAGAGAAGCCTGGTCCTTGGTTGTGTCCAATTCAATCGTGTGCGTCTCTGCAAAACGAGTATATATCAAATATAACTAAAAATTAACTCTTAATTTCAAAAAAGGAATTGTTATTAGTACTCCAAAAATTTCATTTTACACTTCAAACTTTGTATGTTTGGAAAGAAAAATACACTTGTGAAGAGTGTAGAATGAGATTTTTGGAATGCCAATAACACTTCCCTTTCAAAAATTCCATTTTTTTTTATAAAAACTTGCAAATATATTCAAAATTTCACTTAAATAGACATAAATGCCCTCAAATTTAACAATCAAATAAATTAAAGGTTTTTTAGCCACAGTCGCCTCAAGCTCCAGTCCAACTTCACCTTCGCTTCTACACTCCCCCATTTTAACCCTATCCCCTTCGACCCCCTCATCACCGACATTGAGCGTTGCTGCGGTTACCGCAAGTGGGAGCACTAAAATTTCAATCATGCCTTCAACGCATTCTTTCTTCCCACGACCCGAGTCTCTGCCCTCGTCGCCAATTCATGGACACATAACTCTTTCTAAATTGCATCAATTCTTTATAATCTTCGAACCCAATTGGAAAAGGAAAATTTTAAGAAATAATCACTAAAATTATCTCAGGGTGAGGAAATTTGGATTGGAAGGTGAAGGGTTTGGATTGTGAGAGGATAAGGGTTTAGGTAGGTTAGGGTTTTGATTTGGGCATGCCCGTTAGATTTACCCACCAAATGAAGAAGACGGCTTCTTCCTTTAACTTTTTTTTTATTTTTTATTTATAATTTTTATTTTTCTTACTAATATCATTTTTAGTTTTAAATATAAAAATAATTTTTAAAGTTACTTCACATATATGATTGTATTTGTGAGACCCACGTGGCACCACATCATCGCAATAACAAGGCAATTGGCAGATTTTTCACGAAGATACTAAAATGATCACGATTGATAAATTCAAAGAAAGACTAAAATGATTCACAATAGATAAATTCAAGGATACTACTATTGATTTTCATTGTTAAGTATCAGATTAAGGAGTTATGTCAATGTCATGAATCATTT